CCCTCATTCAGCAGCATTTGCCTTCTGGCAGCATGGGTGAGCAGAGCTCAGGGACCCTGGTGCCCAGGCCCTTCCCCGGGCTCTTCACTGACAACAATGGCCACAGCAGGCCTGGCCCCAGAGGGCATGGAGCTGCCACCCAGAACCCAAAGGAAGTCAGGGTTAGTGGAGCAGGGAGTGACAGTGGCCTCAGAGGCAGGAGCAGTCTAATCACACGTGCTTCCGACACATGTTAAGGAGTGTTTCGCTCGAGTGCTGGGAACAGCTGAGGTGGAAGTGTCCCCTTGCACAGGGCGAGCATGGACAGTCCCAGGCCCTTCGGGACCATCCTGTTGCAGCCAGAGGTTTGGCAGTGTGGACCTAGTTGGGGCACCCGCATGTCTGGCCTCAGAGCGACGCTTGGCCCTCAGGCTTGGCCATGTGACGTGGAGTCATACAACCCAGACAGGCAAGGGAGGTGCGAATGCAGGTGTCTGGGGCCGGGGCTGCCCACAGTGGACCCTGACGCCAGGCCTGGGGTCCAGGGGCATCCCAGGGAGCAGCAGTGGGGAGGAGGAGGCCTGGGGGGGGGGACCCACCTGAGCTGCTCCCTGCCAGGCCTCCTGCCTGCATACACATGTGTGCAGGAGGAGCCCACAGATGGCCACAAGGGGGCAGCACAGGGCATGGCAGGGAGCAGGGACCATGGCCAGCTGATGCAGAAGAGTCCAGAACCGGCAGGCCTGGAGCCCCAGCAGGGGCCGACTCCCGCCAGGGCTCTGCTGGCTCTGTCCTCCACCTGGCCAGCGCTGTTTCCCCGCCCCCAAAGGCCCTTCCTGGGCCCCACCCCTTGCTGGCTGACCCCTGTTCGCCTCTGGACTCCCTCCAGGGCCCTCCCAGGCACCCTGCCTCCCTCCTTCTGGGCTCCTCCCCGGCTCCTCCCCTGCTCTAGCTTGGCTCCCTGGATAGCAAGGCCCCTGGCTTTGGTCATCTCCTTCGTGATTTGTGATCGGTCCTTAAGGTCGGGTAATCTGATTATCTCCGTTTTATCAGCACCCTGCTCAGTACATTTTTGTTGATGAACTGGGTTATTTGGGTTTAACAGTTGGGGGAGAGACAGTTATGGGGAATTGAAGGATGAATAGGAGTTTGCCAGATAGGGCCTTCCAGGCAGAGGGAAGAACTTTTGCTAAGGACAGTGTTTGGGAAGGAGATGAGCAGAAGCTGCTCAAGAAGCAAGGCTGTAAGAGGAGAGGGGTGAGCTTGGCTGGGCCTAGTGGCTCAGGCCTGTAAGTCCAGCTACTGGGGAAGCTGAGGCAGGAGGATTGCAAGTTCCAGACCAACTTGAGCAACTGTCTCAAAATAAAAATGAAAAGACTGGGGATATTGCTCAGTAGGGGAGTGTTTGCCTAGCTCAATTCTAAGTACAAAGGGGGGGGGGTATTTAAAAAAAAAGAAGCCAGAGAGGGAGGTGGTGAAAATAGAGCATGGCAGGCAGCAGTGTGGATGTAGCAGGGGCCCACGAGGTCCTCCCAGGGGCTCGGCCAGTCTGCACCAGAGAGCGGGCTGTGCTGGAGGGGTGACAGGGTGCAGGAGCCGGGGCACAAGCTCGGGGTGCAGAGCCCTGGCTGTCGCAGGGGGGCAGAGCCGCCAGACACAGGCCTTGCTGTGGGCCCTGAGCACCATGCATGCTGCCTGCTGGACCTCCCGACCCAGGAACCTAGCTCAGCCCGGCCCAGTGTGGGTGGCAGTGCCCGGGGCACTGGTGTCCTCCCCTCCAGCTGACACAGGTGTGCTCCTGCAGGGGACACGACCCCTTCGCTGGGGCCTGCCTGGCATGGTGAGCAGCTTACCTGACCCCAGGCTTCTTGCCCTGTGGGAGGGGCTAGGTTCCAGGGTGATCCAGAGCTCACCAATGTCATTTGCACAAATGTGCGACGTATACACCTCAGGTCTGGTCAGAGGCTGGGGGGGCAGGAACCATGAATGGGGTGGGGCAGGCCACAGCTCAGTCGCTTTGGGGTGGGAGTTCGGACGGGGCAGAGCTGAGCGGAAGCCACCAGACCAAGGCGCGGCTGTGGGGCTGTGGCCATCTGGTGTCGAGAACTAAGGTGACAGGAAGCAGCCGTGTACCCCGTGCCCAGCCTCCCAGATGGGGAGCTCCAGGATCACCAGCACAGTGGTGATGTCCTACCTGTCCCCAGCTGGAGCGCAGCAATCCAGCCCCCCCTAGGAGGCCACACGTCAGGGCCACTTCCAGGAACGCCAGCCACCCCCTCCTCCCTGGCACACGAGGGGCATCTCCGTGGGTGAGATCAGTGGCCCAGCAGGGTGGCCAGTCTGGAGGTGACCTGCAAACCCTGCTTCGCCCAGCAAGCGCACAGGTCTTTCTAGAGTGGGGTGTGGATCTTCAGTGCGACACCTACAGCCAGGTAACCCTGTCTCTGCCTCAGTTGCCTCCTCCTGAAAGTGGGGCTCTGGAACGGTCCACCTCCCAGGACTATCAAGAGGACCCCACATGCTCAGAGAGGAAGAGGCTGTGAATCCTCTGCCACCTCCCCCAGTGGCTGGCCAGGCGGGTCCCAGCCTGGGGCTCTTGGGGTGACAGATGAGTCCAGAGTGCAGCTCACAGGTAGCCTGCACCAGCATGGCCTCAGGAGGACTCAGGTGCGGCAGGCCGATGACAGGGCTTGAAGGGCGTTCTGACCTAACACACAAGGAGCGCTCAGCCGTTCAGAGTCTGGGTTTGGGGCTGGGGGTGGGTGCATGGGGGACACTGGTGCTGTCCCTGGCTCGTGATCCAGCTGCGCGTCTGCTCTCCAGTCCTGCAGGGCTAGGGGGCTTCTGCACAGTGTGGGTCACAGCCACACGGTGTCCCCTGCTCTCAGCGTGGCCCCTCCAGCCCCATGTTCCTGCCACCTCTCCTCCTCCTGGCCACTGCCTCCCACCTCCGCTTCCCCACCTCCGCTGCTCCTGGCTCCCCCACCTCTCAGCTCCCTGGGGTGCACATCACCTTCCTCCAGGGGGTGCAGCCCAGGCAGAACAAAGGGTCTCCATGGGGCAAAGCCCTTCACCAGGCCACCAGAAGTCCTCTCTGCAGGTGGCTTGGGCCATCCCTGCTCCCACCACCTGCGCCGGGGACTGTGGGTCATGGAGTAGGACCTGCGTCCCAGATGAAACCCCCAGGAGGGGCAGGGCACACCAAGGACTTGGAGGGTCCAGGGCCTACATGGTGCCCGTGGGGAGGGCTGCATGGAGGACTCAGTGGCTGATGATCCCGAAAGGATTCACAAGAAGAGCTCCAAGGGCACTAGGGGTTGACATGGGGAAGAGGGGACCTGGTGTGGCCTCAGCTGTAGGACGCCCGGGTCCTCCCCTGGCTGTCCTCTCTCTGACACATGGACGTCCTGCTTCCTTTGCAGCTGGGTGGAGTCATGTGACCAGTTCTGGCCAATGGATGGTGAGCACAAGTGACGCCCATCACTTCAAGCCCAACACCGAGACCTGGCCACACTCTTCCTGCTGTGGATCCAAGTCCCTTGCCACTCACGACCACCCTGGGGAGGCACAGGAAGGAGACCCGGCACATCCCTCCGTTCTAGGTGCTCCGACACAGGCCCAGACCCCGCTGACCTGAGAAGCTTGATGCCATCAGCAGCAGCCACTAGAGTGGCCCTGGGGTGGGCAGGTGTGACACTGGGAAATGGGTATCCGTCTGGCCTGGCTCCCTGCAGGAATCTCCTGAAGTCCTTGGATCTCCACAGGGGTTTTCTGTATGCTGAGGGGCCTGCTGAGCTGGCAGCCCCTGGTGGCTTCAGGCAGGTCTGGTCACGGATGAAGCCAGATCTGAGGACTTTCAGCCCACACCCACCGCTGGGGAGAAGAGAGGGGTTGCAGGCTGAGCTGACCGCCACCGCGGTGATGTAACCAAGCAAGCCTAAGGAATGAAGTCAACACGAAACCCCAAAGGACTGGGCTTGGGGAGAGCTGAACAGGCGGAAGTGGGGAGGTGGAGGCCTCCCCCGGATGCAAGGAGGCTCTGCACCCTGCCCACCTCGGAGCTGGGGATGTGCTGATCCCGTGGGGTGGCTGCTTGTGTTCTTTCCTTCTGGCCCTGTGCTCAGCCACCGCCAGCCACCAGAGCTTCCGGAACCTGCCCTGCTGCCCCAGCTGCCCTGAATGCCTTCCCTTCCGCCTCTCCAGGAAGGGCTCCTGTGTCAGCGCCTCACTGGGAGAGCACCTTCTCTGGACAGCCTCCCCTGGGTGCCTTTTCTGTCCAGCAGGGGTCAGTCATGGCTCGACTACCTGGGTTCGTCTCCCCAGCCTGCTCTGGGGCAGCAGATGCCAGGTCCCACACATCCCAGCCACCAACTGCTGGCCTGGCAGGCTGAGGATGGATCTCGAGAAGCCCTTGCAGCTGCCTGGGGTGGAGGTGGGGATGAGACCCCTGCGTTCCTGCTGCAGACACGGGCCTCCCCTGTGACCCACACAGGCCTTCAGAGGCCACACACACTCAGAACTCTCCCTTTCCAAGGTGTAGCTCGGCATCTTTTATTTTTCCAGGTAGCCCTGGGATCAGACTGACATTGGGCAATGAGAAAGGGGGGTTTCCAGTTGCACAGGCTGGAACGGCTGAGTGGCAGGAAGCGCATTTGGTGCTAAAAATCCCCGTCCACAGTGGGCTGGTGTGGAGTGGGTGCCAAGCGGGGCCGGGCCACAGGGAAGCTGAGTAAGGGCCACTCCTGGGCGGGGTCAGCCCAGACCTGCCAGGAAGGGAAACTGGCCTCAGCCAGCCCTGTGGTCCCGTGATGGCCAAACAGTGGACTAAACCTAAACACAGACATGAGCGCCTATCCCTGGGAGCCCGGTGGGTGCCTTGCGGACTGGAAGAGGCAGCATCTCTGCCCTTCTGCCCCAAGAGCATTTGTTGTGTGTGTGTCAGGACGCACGTGAGGACATCGTCCCCTGGGGACGTGTGTGGCTTGTGTTTCAGGTGGGCAAGAGGAGACAACACCAGCAGATGTGCCCGAAGCCACATAAGACCAGGCTGGGGCATGGACACCTTTATTCCAGGGCTTTGGCCAACGGGAGGTTTCCTTTCTGAGACTTTAGAAGAACAACAGCAAGGAAGACGGGTGGGTACAGTTCACACACATTTACACACAGCATCAGAGGGGTGTGTCTTCGGGGTGTCGAATGACACACAGAGGAAGAGAGACATGAGGAGACAGACAAGGTGCCGTGTCCATGAGGAACACGGCGAATTGGAGCCACAGAGACCTGCAGGTGGGGTAAGGCTGGAGATGCCCCTCGCAGGGACTGAAACTAAACTCTGTATATATGTCCTCTTATGTGGAAAGAAGCTATACTTTTTAATAAAATAAAAACTTCTGTGTAACTCGAAAGATATCACTGAGGCATCTAGGGGATGATTTGAAGAAGGGTGCAGGGCCTGGCAGAGCCCTGGCGTAGGTGCTGTACCAGCCTCACATCTGTCCCCCAAAAGACCAGTCGCCGACAGCTGCGAAAATCCCACACCTCGCACTTGGCACAGCCCTGAGGATGCTCAGCATCACGCTCCCACCCCGGGCTGTCTGCGAGCCTGGATGTGCCCACTCTGCTCCGAGCAGCCACTCCGAGGGCATCAACATCAGCCACCAACACCACATCCCAGCCGCCTGTGCCCGCAAGTGCCTGGCACAGGGGCCGGACATGCCGAGGACCTGGGGAGACAGCTGTGGCCACCTTCTGGGACAGCCAGGCCACAGGATCTCCTGACGCCAGCCACAGCGGGGAAAGGTGGGTCAAACTTGGGACAGCCCTAAACTACAGGCAGGAGTGTCACTGGCACAAAGAGGGGCACTGCTGGGGCCCCGCTACCCCTGCTCGGCCTCCCCAGGCACCCTGTTCCCCCGACACAGAGAAGCCAGAGTGAGGTGCCGTGGGGCCTTGGCATGGTTCTCTCCCATCCCTGGGGCCCAGGGAGAGGCGCTGGCGGCCATCAGAACAGCAGGGCTTTCTTCTTCAGGTCGTTCCTCTTCCACAGGGCCAGGCGCTCAAACTCCTCAATGCTCATCCCGAACACTTCCTGGAACTCCTCAGGCGACAAGTGTCTCTTCAAACAAGGGGAACAGAGGGGCAGTTAGCAGCTCTGCAGCCACACACCGGCTGGGCCAGCCTCCAAGGTCCTCTGTCCAGAGGCAGGGCTGGGGACAGGGGTGGCCTTTGATGGTTCCCGGATCCCTTCTCTGCCACGCTCAGAGGACAGAGACTCCACTAGGGTCATGCAAAGACCATGCACAGCTGGAGGTGGCGCCCTGGACTCCTGATCCCGAGACACCCTTCCCCTGCTGTCAGACACCAGACAGGGCACCTGCCTGCTGGGAAAGCCCAGCTTGTCCTCAGTTTCCTTAAACTGTCATATTTACCATCTCCTTGTATTGTCATGGCTGCTGCTAGTGAGCAGGGGATGGGTGGTCTCCTCCCACCCTCCCCATTTCCAGCTGAGGAAGCTGAGGCCTGGCCAAGGAGCAAAGGGGCCTCCAGTGTGTGACCGAGGGCAACTGCTCCAAGTCTGCACCCAGCTCCTGGGCCGGGGCACCATGGGCGGATGCACAGCTGGAGGTCAAGGCCCAGGTACCAGGGCTGCAATGCACTGAGCTGGCCTGAGGGAGCCACAGTCTCTGCCTCTGCACAGCAGTCGCCCTTGGGCCTCCTTGGAGTCTAGAGTCAGCGCTGCTCAGTGCTTAGCGCTGGCATGTCCACCTTCACTTCGACCTCCACCAGGGCCCCCCACCCAGCCTCTCCTGCAGGGGACTGCAATACTGATTAAGCCCAAGGCAGGCCGTGAAGAGCTAACCCCACGACTGGTTGTTTATAGAAGTGAATCCAGCCAAGGTCTACTTGCTGAGGTCAGAGTAACTCGCACCCACAACTAAAACCTTCAGACTAGAAGGACACCGTTCCGATCACAACCTGATATTTTGTCTATTCTGTTCCTAATTCAAGAATGCTTTGTCTTGTCCTTTGGGAGCCTTGCTTACATTAATTTCCACAGAAACCACATGACTGTACTTCCTTGGATGTAGCTCCACACTCACACACAGCTCACCCTTACCCCAACGGATTGCCAATAAAAATCAGTGGCTTGGACTGGCCAGGGCCTTGGTCGTCTGCACCGGCACTGGTCGTCCTGGGCTCCACTTTCTGTCTCTCTTATTTCTGTCTGTTAGGTTTTTGCTCAGGCCTGCGTTGTGCACTGAGCAGGCGACTGGAGCCTACTGCGGAGATTTCCGGTAATGTCTGAGGGGTCCCCAGAACTCCCCCTGGCCCAGTGGCTCTCACATCGCAGGAACTCCCCACGCCTCAGGCCCTGGCTCAGGTGGGCGAGGGCATCCGCTCCGAGATGCTTCCTGGGGAGCCTGGGGCTTTCCACTCATGCGGCTCCACCTGGGGAGGGCCGTGCGAGCGGAAGGCCCACGGGAAGCTGGGCCCGGCCGTGGCAGAGGGGGCACACATCCTGACGATGCACTGTCTCATCTTAGGTGGCAAGGAGATCCTGGCATTCGGGGCCACATGGATAAACCTGACAACGCCAGGCTAAGGGAAGGAAGCCACATAAAAGATTCCAGTGTGTGCAGCGGGGCAGGAAACAGACTGTGGCTGCCAGGGTGGGGAGAGAGGAACCGGGAGTGACTGCGAACTAGTGGGTGTGGGGTTTCCTTCAGGGAGATGAGAATGTTCTGGAATGACAGCGGCGACGGCTGCGCAACACTGCAAATGTATGAGCTGCCACTGCACTGGGTTAAAATGGTTAAAATGGTGAATTTTGCTGCAATTAAAAAAATGATTTTTGCCAAAAAAAGAAAGAAAAAAGAGGTGCGATTTCCTCAACTTTCAAGCAAAGCTACTAACGGTAGCTGTCCTGGTCAAGAGAAATGGATGGGGACACTGAATGGTCTCTGGAAACCTCCAACACTGATCGTTACCCGGTGTGTATTTCACAAAATCACTGAACCCTCGTGGCATGTGCTGTGCTGTGGAGCCAGTTGGAGTGACTGGAAGGAGAGAAGTCAGGAAACCCCCAGAACACGGGTCCAGAAGTTGCTACTGGAGAAAACCCAACCATTTGGATGGAGCTCAGGGAGAAGGCACGGCTTCGATCCCCACGATTGGGAAAAAATAAAAAACAGTAAAGCTTCCGGGCCACCTCGGAGGGCAGTGAAGGCCACAGGGACCCAATGTGGCCTCCGCTCCAGCGAGGACAGTGCCCTGGCCCAGCCCCAAGTCTCCTCCTGGGCACCCACACACCCTGCCCAGCCTGGACGTGTCACCTTCTTCCTGCCTGCCCACTGGATTTGGCTGCCCCTGCACCAGTGCTGGGCTGATCGGTCCCCTCCAGGGGCCTCAGCAATGTCACCTCCGTAATGACAAGAGCCACTGCTGTCTGTGGAGTGCCTGCCCACGCTACCACCTCTTTGACCTCTCCCCAGCCTGTGGGGCGCAGGGGGTGGAGAGCTGCAGTGCCATGGGCCTCACTGCTGCCTCACCCAGCCCTCCAGGTGCTCCTCTGCTCCCTGACGGGTACCCACAGGCTCAGGAGTGCACTAGGCCTACACCAACAGCTCCCCCTTCTCCTGCAGGTCCTGATTCCAATTTCACCTCCTGGAGAGGTCCCCTGGACTGCACTAAGCACCCGGTCCTGGGGCCACACCATGTCCCCTGCTCTGCGTCCCCTCTGCCCTGGCTTTTGGCCAGGAGGGCAGCACAGGCCATGCGTCCACTGGCTCAGTGTGCGCTGGCTCCGCACCGAGCATGGGGCTCCCAGCCCTGTTCTTGCACCGCCTGCCCTGTTCACTGCAGCTCACATGAGCTCCTGCCCCTCAGGCTGGGCTCCTGGCCTACCAGGCCCCAGGGCAGCTGCTTCATGCACAAAGGCCTGAGATGGACAAGGCAGGGCCGTGGTGCCCCAGGGCCAGGACTGGGATCCGATCCTCTGGGACGGAGGAGGCGTCTCGGGACTCCCTGGGGGCCCCACAGTCCACTGCTGATGCTGCTGTGCTCACGGAGGCCACATGGCTCAGTGGATCCCCTTCCAGAGCAGGGTCACCACACATGCACAGGTGACTGGCGGGAACTGGGCAGCAACTGGGCACTGTCCCTGTCTCCAGGCTGACCCTCAGTGTCCACAGGCACCTCGTGAAGGGCAGGGAGCACCATCAGCCCAGGCGCCCTCTGCCTCACGCAGTGACTGCCACATGGCGTCCCTGCAGCCTGCCTGGAGTCACACCTGGGACCTCCTCCCTGTCACCACGACGACTTCTCAGGCTCCAAGTCCTGCTGCCTCAGTTTCCCTGAGCATCATCTGAACCTGCCCATACCTTCATCTGTTCCACCCATGTCCATGATGGTGTCATATCTTGCCCTGAGGACCCAAACTCCCCTACACTGGCTCCCTGGGTCTATACATGGGGTCTAAGCTTCACTCTGCTGCCATGGGGCTGTTTTTAATCACAGACCTAACCAGGTAACTCCACTCACATCCTTCTCAAGCTAAAACCCAGCCCACCTGACACAGCCAGGATCCTACAGGGCCCAGGCCATCTGCCGCTTCACCTACTCGGGCCTCTCAGACAGCTCTGGCCTTTGTGCCCCAGGGCCTTTGCACATGCAGGTTGCTCTTCCTAAAATTCTCTTCCTACTTTCTATCCCTTCCCTTGCTCACAAAACACATGTGTGTGCACACACACACACACACACACGCATGCACACTGACTGCACTGATCAGCATTTACTCAGTTTAACCATATGCTCACTGGCCCACATTCTTCTCCTTCAGGGCCCTAGGGCTGGCATATGACTATAATGCTCATCTGGACAATTCCCTGATTGATGCCCACCTCTCGTGGATCTGCTAGGTCTGAGCTCATGCCAGGATTTGCTCACACACACCCTGGGCCCCGCTCAGTGCCTGGCACATATCCACAGAATGAGCAAAGGGGGCACTGCGCCATGAGTGCGGTTGACGTGCTGTGACACTTGGCAGCACAGTCCTCCTTCTGGGTATGGCCCTGCAGAGCTGCCTGCCATGTCCACATGCTCTGCCTGGGCACTGAGGTGACTCCACCTTCCAGCCTGCCTTGCAGTGAGCTTGGCCATGTGCCGAGATCAGCCAATGGGGTGTGAGTGGAAATGCTGCCAGCCAATGGGGTGTGAGCAGAGGGACCATTCCTCACTCCAAGCCTGGGCCTCGGGACCCTCCCACATGGGACCCACCATTGTGGCCCTCTCAAAGGTGGGGCCGGAGCTCCATGAATTGTCACAGAAAATGTCCGTGTCAAATTTGAAAGGAAAAGGCAAGAGGTAGCCCTACTTATCCAAAAGAGGATTCTGTTACCTCTGGGGTTCGTGCAAAAGAGATTTCGGGGCTGGGCCCTGGGGCCTGGGTGAGGGAACCCGGTAAGGTCTGTGTGTTCTTTGTACTCCCCTGGGCTTTTACAGTAGCTATGAAGTGTTCTGATAAAACAAAGAAAGCTCTTCCCTGATGTTTCCATCAGAGGCCCGGCTTCTGCTGGGACAGGCCTCCTGAGCCCCACCCCAGGTCTCTGCCCTGCAGGCTCAGAGGGATAGGAACACGCCCCAGGTGGGAACACATCCAGTGCCTGCAGCAAGGCTGAGCTGCCGGAGGGCTGGAGAGCGCGCCCTTGGGTGACTCAGACATTTGAGAGACAGATGCCAGTGCCCCCACCACAGCTTCCTAAAAGGATTCATTTTCCTGCTTGATCCACCTGAAACTCCCCACCTTTCCCTCTGTATCAGTTTAGGTGCACTCGTGGACGTACACACACACACACACACACACACACACACACACACACACAGGCAAATCAAGTCACCAAAGGCACACCCAGCCCCCAGGGCAGCAGCGAGTCCCCACAGGCTGCCGGCTGGCGTCCTCTGAACGCTGGGCCCCGCCTAGGTGCTCTCTTTCCTCACTGGAGCCACCTGGCTCCTGGAGGCTTCTGGAGGCACCTGCATCACACTGCAGAGAGCCAGACGCAGCACCGTTAAGGACCAGCAGCCACGGGGTGGAGGACGCTGCATCACACCCTGGGACCTCTCCCACTCTGAGCTCCTCCGTGTGCCAAGCATCGCAGTCCCTGCCCGGGGCTCCCGGCACCCCAGACCCACACACCTGCTGCCCGGCCCCTTGCACGATGACCCACACCCCCTCATGCACCAGCAGGAGTGCAGCCTCCCCTTCTGCAGGCAACATCCAGACGCCCGGCTAGGCTGCCAGCTTTGGCCCCACCGGTCCTTTGGTGGCATGGAGCGGGCCTGGTCCAGGAGAGCGGCCTGGCAGCAGACGGGCACCATGGTGGAGGGGGCTGTGCTGCCACCTCCCATCCTGCCCCAGCTCCCTGCCCGGGCTCTTCCTGCTTGTCATGCAGACCCTCAAGTCGCATCTCAGGTGGCAGGCCAGGTCTGATTTCCCCAGAGCCACCTGGGTCCCTGAGCTCGGGTGGCATACGCAGCAGCTTCAGCACCAGGCCGAGAACGTGGCCAGTCTGGCATCGCATTCCCTGGGTTCAGCTGGTTGATTTAGAGGCAATCCCATCACCCACCCGAGGCCGAGGGAGGGCTCTGTCGGGACTGCTGAGGGATGGGGGGGGTCTTTCTGCAAACATCAAGCCCGAGCAATCTGTCCACACCTGGAGCTGGCAGAGAGGTGGAAGGAAAGCAACGGGGCTGGGGACCCGGTCCAGCCCCGACCAAGCAAATCACTTTGGCCAGGTCCAATCAGGTACAGCACAGGTCACCCAGACGGGGCCGCTCGCAGTGCCGAAGCCACAGCAGCACGCTCAGCACTCTCCTCACAGCCAGCCACTGCCCGGCCACCGGGGCCGCCCTCCCAGGTAGCAGCTTACACAGCCGCAGATCTGCACGGTGGCTTTTGCGTGGGTGTTGTTTTGTTTTTGTGAACCCAGGGCCTTTGCATTGAGCTGTGGCCCCAACCCTGTTATTTTTTTACTTTGAGGCTCTGATTCACTAAATTGTCCAGGCTGGGCTCAAGTGTGACCCTCCCGCCTCAGCCTCCCAAGTTCTGGGATGATGGGCATGCACCACCACGTGTGGAGAATACATGCACCTTAGAGATGTGGAAATCAAGGCTTAAGGGCCCAGGAAACCTGCTGCATGCTGAGTTGCCATAGCTCCCGGGTCACCAGAGCCTTTGCCCGGGCCTGCCTGGGATGCTCACCCCTCTCTGCTGAGGGGAGTCGCCCCCCATCGCAGGACTCCCCAGGGACTCCCCATGCCCAGCCCACAGGGCCTGCCAGGTCCCACTGACCCACAGAAACCACCCCGTGCGGATCCCCTGGCCTCCACCTCCTGCTCCCCAGGTGCTGCTGGGCGCCATCAGAGGCCTCCGTGCCTTCCTCAACTTCTCTTCCCTACACAGCCCCAGCCTGGGACACAGACAGGGCTGTGGCCTCTGCCTGGAGCCTGGAGACCCCTCACCCCTGCAAAAGAGCCCTCTAGGAGCAGTGCCACCTTCAGGAAGGGCTTGGGGATGGGATGCGACTGGCTGAGGCCCTGTCCTCCTGGGACGGCCGTAAGGACCTGGCAGGGCCTCAAGGCATCCTTGGGCCTCAGCACAGTGGGTCCTCAGCGGTTTGTTCTCCTGGCCAACACCACTCTGGGCGGCCTCCTGCTGGGACTTTGAAGCCGTGCCTGCTTTCTACCAACAGGCTCGTTACTCTAGACCACGTGACCGTGGCCCACAGGAAGCACTGAGCAGCCACAGCGCCTGGGGCCCTACACCTGCCCGGCCACACCGGGCCCCTGCAGGGCAGCAGAGTTGGGGCCCTGGAAGCAGCGTGGGGCTGGATGCTGAGCCTGCATGGTCCCCGTGGCCATCCCCAGAGCCGGGGGCCTCTCCCTGGCAGAACCGGCCCCTCACCTCCAGCCTCGTCCTGTCCACATCTTTGGGCAGCTTCACTCGGATGCGGTTTGTCACGATGAGCGAGTCGTAAGGGTAGATCTGGGGAGGAGACCACAGGTTCCCCTGGAGAGGCGGGCGTGTGCCGGCCCCGGCCCCGAGCTGAGCCAAAGGCTGACCGAGATGCATACACATTTCTCGGGGAAAGCAACAAAAAGGAACTTTTCACCTGGCAGTGCGGCGTGGCAGCGGTCAGTGCGGGCGGTGCCCTCTTACCTTGTACTCTGTAAGAGAAAAGTGGAGACCACGGGGTGTGGGGCGTTTGGGGAAGCAACCCGCCCTGGGGACCCCCTGGCCCCACAGTCAGCTCAGCCATGCACGTCTCGCAGTGCCCTGAGCAGCCTGCGTGGGGCTCTGGTCTTGGGGCCATGGCTGGGGGTCCTGGGGGCTCCAAGGGAAACAGAGCAGGAGGCATGGTCAGGAGGCTGAGGCCAGAGTGGAAGCCGGGCTGTGACACAGCCTCTCCTGGTGGTCTGGGCCACCCGGAGCACTGTGTGTCTCGGTTTATGCACTTGTGCTGCTCATCCGAGGGCAACACCTTTTGGGGTTCTGGCAGACTGACACCGTTACCCGATCTGACTCTCCACCCCACCCTCTTACTGCCTGCCCTCCTCAACTCCTCTTCCTTTCAACTGCGGAGCTCGCGCCCTGGCTTTCTGGCTTTCGGAAGGTTTTCTTTTTCTTTCTTTTGCAGTGCTGGGGATGGAACCTGGTCCTTGTGCATGTCGGCCAAGCACTTTCCACTGAGCTACACCCCAGCCCTGGAAACACCTTTCTCCAGACAGAAAGCTCCTTACTGAACATAAAGCCATATGGGTAGGAGGCCCTGGTGCACGCAGGACCCGAGACAAGGCAGGAGACCTGTGGGAGGGGCCAGTCCTGGGGTCCCCCACGCACTGCGTGGGAACTGGACAATCACTTAGAGAAGGAGGCTGAGACCCAGCCTACGAGAGCACCCCACCCCAACATCTCCAGAGGGTGGAAGGAGGGCAGGCGGCCAGGCTTGGGACCCCACTCAGAGCAGGAGGGTGGCCCTTCAGCAGCACCTGTCACGTGACTGAGGCCACAGCACACAGGGAGCCAGGGAGGCAGGCGATGACCCAGTGGTGTACCTCAGGCACATTCTAGCTATTGACTCTGTCTCCCCAAGTGTGCAGAGCACCCCACGAGCCAGGCAGCCCTGACCTGGATGGGTAACGAAGGCCGGGAGGTACAGGCATCCTCCCCGGGTCCCCTTGCCCACCATGCCCAGAGCCTTCTGCCAGCAGACTGGACGAGCAGTCTCAGAACAAGAGTGGTGGAACTGGGCAGCAAGCCCCTGTCCAGCCAGAGGCCTGCGGGGTCCCCGCGGCATGTACCTCGCGTGCCCCAGCTGGGATCTGGCTCTGCTCCCCAAGGGGCCACACTGGCATTCTGGAAGAGAAAGAGAGAGAGGGTGGCAAGAGGCACCTGCACGGGACAGCATGGCCCAGGCCTGCGCAGCTGGGAGGAGGACGCCCACCTCACACGGAAGGCAGAGTGACCACCAGTGAGGCCAACACAGTCTCTGAAAAGAAGGGTCCAGGATGCCACCCCATGGGCCTGCCGGTACACGCTGCCTGCTGGGTCAGCTCTGACCCACCCTACAGACACCCGGGCCTGGCCTGCTCTGAGCTGGCATGGACCCCAGCACGCAGCTGGGCTCTGGTTCCTCACTCTGAGGTTCCTCTGCTCCTACCACACCTGCTGTCCCCGGTTCTCTGCGAGGACTCAGACCCACCCCGTGCCCTGTGCCCCGGAGACAGCCAAGGGGGCGCACTGGCTGCTGCTGCCTGTGGGGGCCGTGCCCAGCCTACTGTTCCCAGACCCCAGGGTCCAGGTGCACTGGGCCTGCGCTGCGTGCCAAAGTCCACCCGGCCGAGGCCCCAGGGCGAGCGTGGCCCTGCCTCTCCCCTGGTGGCCCAGCAGCTTCATGGGCGACTGTCTGGAGGACCAAAGGAGCCCGGTGATTGGAAGCCCCAGGCACAGACCCTGGGCAGTCGTCAGCAGTCCCTGGAGAGTGACCCTGGCTATGACAGTAATCCCAAGGGGTGACCCTCCTAGAGGGACGGAGGCAACAGCCCCTCCCTCGCCTGCCCTGGCAGCCACCAGCAAACTGCCACATCAGTGCGTGATGACCACTCAGGCCTGGAGCGCTCCATCCCCTCTGCCCACCTGAAGACGTCACCTACATAACCGCCCACCTCCCTGCAGTCCCTGGCACTGTGGGCACGAGCTAGACCCCACAGGGCTCGTCCATCCCGCTCCTGTCCGCCCCTGCCCACTGCGGGCAGCTGCTGTTTGCACTGAGCTGCGCCTGCTCACGGTTGCGCGTGCGCTGCCTGCAGCAGGCTAAGCCCCTGGAAGAAAATGCCTTACTTAGGCCCCATCCCCCAACACCTGGTGCAGGGGCTGAAATGAGGTCAAGGCTGGCGGCCAGCACTTCTGAAACCGAGCGCAGAGCTCTGCAGGTGAAGGCCAGCGTGTGCAGCCTGGGTCCCATCACGGGGACAGCTGCTGCCAGGGGTAACGCACTGCAGCGGCTGAGAAGCGAGGAGCTGGCTGTGGTCCTGGAGCAGTGATGGGGAATCTATGGCCCACGGACCACAGCCGGCTGTTTGTCATCACTGCAAGCTCTGGAAGGTTGGCCGGCGCTGCCCTAGCATGTGGGAGCAGGAAAAGACTCCAAGTCCAGAGCCCTTCGCCTGCAATAGGGAAACCGAGGCCCAGAAAGAAGCCAGGGCTTCCTCCTGCTGGGACCAGGCTGGTGAGTGAGGTAAGTGCCAGTGGAGCACTGGAACTGGTCTTTATTGAAATATTTAAATTGTGAGTTTGTCTGCATTCATTTGGATTTCTGAAGTACTGCACGCAAATAGGATGTAGCTGCTGACGGCGCCTCACCCTCCTCCTAGCCCAGATTCCTGGCCTCTCACGGCCACCGCTTCCCTGTAGGAGTTTATGAGAGCAGGGTTTTGAGATGTATTCTCCTGCCTGCTTTCAGTCCAGCAAGGAGCCTGCCTGCAACCTTCACGCAAAAGGGAAACGCTGCCACCTAGCGGCAGTGCCCCGCATCACAGCCACCAGAACACCCAGGGGGGACCCACCGCCCCAGCACAACCAGCTTCCTCTGTCTCCCAGCCCCTGAGGCCATGGAGACTCTGGAAGGGATGGAGGAGGAAGTGTTGGATGGGTCACAGCTGGGCAGGACGCTGTCCTGGTCTGCTAGGTACAGGGGGGCAGGGCTCTGCAAGAGTTTAGGGCCAGTGAGGCCTGGGCTGCTGCCTCTGGTGGCTCTCAGGGGAGCTCCTGGGGACTTTGAAGGCAATGAATTATGTATTTCCCCTTTGGCGTGCGTGGCCCAGGGCTCTGCAGGGGCTTCTCTAATCTCACTGTGACTTGGGAGGGAGCAGGATCACTTGCTCTAGAGATGAGGCTCAGACAGGTTAAGCATCCTTCCCAAGATCACACAACAAACACGTGGGCCTGGAGAGCTCTGAGCCCAGGTGTTTGACTTTCCAAAAACTGTGCTGAGATCACTACTGACAGGGACGAGATGATCGTCACCTGCCCCGAGCTGCTGTTCCTTTCTTGCTACGGCTACGTTGGAGCTATGTCTCCTCACAGCAGCCATGGAGGGCGAAGCGGGTAGGGACTTGCTTTTAAATAATGGCTCACGTGGGAATCATGTTATGGAAAATAGGAAGATGCTTTGCAACCAAGATGTTATTTGTCTCCATCATGACTTTAAGAGGTAAGGATTTTTTTTTTAATTTTAGGAAATGAAGACTCAGAAAATTTAACCTATTCAAAGACAGTGGGGATCTGAATTCAGAGCCATCTGATTCCAAGTCATATGGGTATGTGATCTTTCCAGCATTACAGTTTGGAAATCTCAGACTTCTTCAGTTTGTTACGATCTTGTTTGCACAGGTTATAGACAAACATAATTTTGTTTTAACAAATCATGTATGTTTGTATATACTTACATATTCTGTAAATGTTTTATGAATATGTGAAAACTGGATTCAAAAGATATATATTTTTCTCATATACCTATTAGATTAGGCTTGCTCTTTGTACTATTCAATTATTTTTTGTACTGTAAATTTTTTTGTTTAATAGGTTCATGTCTTATTTCAAGAGAGCTGTATTCAAATCAGCTACCTTGTATTTTTTCAAGGTGTCTGGCATGGTTGTGTTGCTTGGTGCATTAAGTTTATAAATGCTATACCTGCTTTATTACATAGGGCCTTTAGCATGAATTAGGGTTCCCTTTCACACTATTAATTCTATTAGTTTCTCTTAGCTTCCATCTTATCTAATATTGCTACTCCTGCCTTCTTTATAGTTGTGATTTTAGTATCTTTTTTCTTATCATTTTACTTCTAATTATTTAAAAATAACTGTAAGTGTGTATCTTGTAATGCCTCACTCTGACAATGGTATTTTTTTAAAGCTCACTGGATAGCCTCTATCATTCAGTATTGGATCTGTCTGCTCACATTTAACATCGAGGTTTTCCGGATGGAACGTCTTTCACGGAGTGACACACAGACCCGCAGGTGGCCTGGTTGGAATCTCTCTGCCTCACCCCAGGGACACCTGCAGTAGGTACCTGTTATTCTGTCCGTGTCACAGTCAGCTGGTGAGCTTCTACCTCCCACACAGGCTTGGCTACTAGGCCTTTGTAATGACCTGTGACACATGTGGTGCTGTGCACCCTCATTTAAAAATTCCTCTTGGAGCAAGACCTTTTCCTTTTCTACCATCAGACAACGAGAACCTCACCAGTGGCCCAGCTCACAGCTGTGTTGGCACCAGGGCTATCAGGAAACTCATCACCCTTTCCTTTGCTTTGGACATTAATTTTCTCCTGTAGTCTCTCTTCCTTTGTGATTTAGTATTAGCAGGATTTCAGTTTCCCTTTATTTGAGCTTTTGCTTCTGGCCCTCCCAGAATCCTTTCTGCAAGTAAAAGAAACCAAGAAACCCCTAGTAAATGACCCTGGGCACTGCAGGCCATGGGCAGAGGTGCGTGGATGCGAGCTCAGTGGGAAGCCTGGGCAAGGCCCTGAGTCCACCTGTGGGATGGCTGCAGTGCAAAAGGTGGGTCATCAGACAGGGCACGCATGGGGACTTCCGCCGAGAGTGGGAATAAAACGGTCTTAGCTCAAAAAAAGGAAAAGGGCATTAGAGGGGAACAAACTCCCGAAGCCGAGCACAGTAAGACCACCAATCTGCACAGTCAATGTGAAGAGCTGCCGTCTCCACGTAAGAGCAAACCCACCCTTATGGAGCCCTGCCAGGGTGCAAAGGGCCCCGCACCCACCACGCTGGGCTGGCAGAGGAAGCGTGCTCACAGGAAGGCTTAGGAGCCGGCCCTCTGTGGTCCTGGCGGGCCAACGACAGTCCTGCCAGATGTTGGGCCAGCTGTTCTCAACCTTTCAGGTGACCATGAGCTCTGCGGATGCCACTGCTGTATGTGAACTGAGCAGGCTGAGAAAGCAGAGCCCGCTGTTCCTGATGCGCCTCCCTCACCCTGAGCAACCCCAGGGACTGACGTGGCTGGGTCCACACCCTGAGCACTGTGCCCTGCAGTCCCAAGTAGAGAACAGCTGTTCCAGGTGAGAAGAGAACATTCTAGACAGTTTTTCCAGTGCCCCGGCCCCAGACACTGAGTGGGGGACTCGCATTCCTAGTGGTGCAGGGGTCCTGGGCACTGATTTCCTGCCCCCTGCTTTCCCTGTGGAAGACAAAGTGGGGAGAAGTCTTTGGGAGGAGGTTCAGAGCATGCCCCATGCAGGGTCCCGGCGCGGCCCATTCCGGAATGGGAAGAGTGGTTAGCGGGAGAGAACGGGATCAGGATCTGCTAGAAACCAACCATGCAGAGGGCTGCCGGAGACCCCAGCGGCGGGGCCTGGCACCAAAACCCAGCGCAGGTCTGCCTGAGGTGGAGGAAGACAGAGAAGCAGCCCTGGTGGCCACCTGTGGCTCTGAGAGGTGGGGTCCCTGCCCGCTCGAGTGAGTGTCCCTCTGACCCCAGGGACGGTCTCTCTGGGCCACACACTTGCTGTCACAGCTGCTCCGGAGTGGCACACAGCCTCAGGCTCCTGGTGGCCTCTCTTGAGAGGTGCGTGCCCTGAGTGGTGAAGAACCCTTGGTCACAGGGCAGGAGGTGGCTCTGGCAGCATGGGACCCTTCCCACCCCAGGCACCCGCCCCGCAGACCCACACCAGCAGCACGGGAAAGGAGGGACAGCCGAGCTGTGCAGTGTCGGGTGCTCACACTGAGGGCTCCTGGGCAGAGCAGAGAGGGGCCCGTGCAGCCGGCCTGGTCTGGTCCTGGTACAGAAAAGCAGAGGTGGTGGCAGCCCCGGGCCCAGCGGCAGGTGGGTGCCAGCCTCCCCTCCCGGCTGTGCAGTCAGGAAGCTGTGGGCCGGGTCTGGGTTAGTACGGGTGGTCGCGGGGCGGGTACCTACCCTGTGGTCCAAGCCGTTCTTCCCGGGTCCTGGGGGAGAGTCAGATTTGGAATAGGGGAAGCCTGAAACAGACACAGCACAGCCTGGTCACGCGCTCGGCACGGCTGGAGAGAGGCCCCTGGCCGGGCTCCTGATGGAGGGGACACAGCTGCAAGGAGCCTGCCACCTCAGCTGGACTCCTGTCCCCAGAGTGCACAGGGAGGCAGGAGCCAGGCAGGGCCAACCCCAGCCTACCACTGCCTGGGGAGCAGCACTGGCCTTGTGTTCATGATGGGCGGGCCCTCAGCCTCATCTGTCACCCCAGCCAGCCCCTCGCTGTCCACACGGGGCTGGGTCTTGGTACCTGGGGGGCAGTAGGGTATGCCATCCAGTGCCAGGGGCGGCAAAGGCACGCCACCACCCGCCACATGGGACCTGGAGACTCCCTCTCTCTCTCTCCCTTCCTTTCTTCCTTCCTTCCTTCCTTTCTTTCCTTCTCTTCCTTCTTTCCTTTTTCCTTTTTTGAGACAAGATCTTACTATGTTGCCCAGGCTGGTCTTGTCATCATAGGGGTGCAGAGGGGAGCAGCCCGCCTGGCTCTTGAGGCGCCTTCTAGTGGAGGGGCCGTGGCACAGCCTCCCGCAGCCATGGGGTGGCCCACACTGGGGGTGCCCTCACAGGCCTGCCTCAGTCCCTGAATGGTCTCCTTCCACCGCCTGGGACCCCGAGAGCAGGGCCCATGGCGCCTTGCCGGGCGTCCCTAGCTGGAAGCCAGCAGCGCAGACCAACCAGACACAAATACACCAGTCTTTTGCCTCTGGGCCCCTGGGCTGCCCTGGGAGAGCGGCAAGGGCCGGTGGGCCACCACCCTCCGTGTGTGCACAGAGGACTGGGGCTGGGCCTCCAGAGCATGCGGCTGGGCTGCTCCCCACTGCCCCGGCCTCTCTGAGGCCCCCAGTGAGTGGACCAGCCCAGAGACGGGTGGGTACCTGCCTGAGGTCACACAGCTCGGTAGCAGCAGTCCCAGAGGGAGACCGAGGCGAGAAACACCTGCTTCCTGAGTTATGCTCGGAGCCGGCGCTCTGGGACCCTGGACAGCGTTTAGCCGAGACACGAGCTGCCTGTGAGGATGCCTCATGCGGTGGTTCTCAAAGTGCGTCCCCAACTAGCACCATGAACCTCACCAGGGGACGTGGGAGTCCCCTCGTGAGAAACACACATTCTCACCCCACTGCGGACCTGGAGTCAGAATTCCAGGGCTGGGACTCTGGCCAGTGCCCGGGCTTTTACAAGCCCTCCAGGGTGTTTGGCTGGACAGCAGCACCTGGACACGACTGCCCTTTGGTTCTAAGATCAGCAAGTGCCCTTGCTGAACCTGTACCTCACCTCACAGCCGTGACCTGGACACACCACAGGCACCTGGATGGGGGCGGCTCCCAGGGCCTGGGCTGCTGTCCACAGTCCCGGCATTCAACTGCGCCAGGCAGGGTGGAAACCCGACTTCCATTAAGCCACTTCACACACCCTGAGGTCACTGAGTAGGGCTCTCTTCCACCTGCTTGGGGCACCTGTGTCAGACACCGTAATGCATTTGCTTCAACCATCAAATATGATCAAAGAGACTGAGAAAAGAAGGGTGACATATTGTATATTCAGCCCCATGTTTGCCTCTTCTAAAGTCCGAGAAAGTCTTTATTTCCCATCCATCCTGAAGGATATTTTTGCTGACTCTAGAATCCACACTGACAATGTTTTTCTTTATCCATGAGAGACGTGCTACCTCCACCTGGTTGCCATAGTTTTGACTGCAAAATCTGCGGTCATTCAGTTGGGTGTTTCCCATCTTTTCTGAGTGCTTTCAAGATAGTGGTGTCTATTTTTTGTGGGTTTTTTGAGTCCTTAATTTTCAGGAGTTTAATCATGATGAGTCTTGGTGTGGATTTCTTTGAGGTTCATTCAGTTTCTTGAATTTGTAGGTTTGTCCCTTTTGGAAAATGTGAGTTTTCAGCCATCACTTCCTTGAAAAAAAAACTATATATATATATTTGCAGTACTGGGAATCAAAACCAGAGGTGCTCTATCACTGATCTGCATCCCCGGGCCATTTTTGGTTTTTATTTTTAGGTAGGGTTTTGCTAAATTGATCCAGCTTACAATCCTCCTGCTTCAGCCTCCCAGGTTCTGGGATTACAGTGTCATGTCACCACATTTCTCTGATCCTTTTTCAATCCCATTCTCCTCCTCTCCTGGGAATCCAGTGATACAAACACCATCCCCCAAGTCCCTGGGTGCTGGGTCACTGCGTCCTTCCTCTCTGTTGTTCATGTTGTTGTTCTCCTTGCTCTATGTGCACACGCTGATTCTCTTTCCTCATATTTGGTTGTTCTCTTTTTGAACGCATCCAGTGGATTTTTAATTTTGGTTATTTTATTTTTCAGTTCTATAGTTTCCAAAAAAATAATTTCTCTTTCTTTGGTGGGACGTTTTCTTGCTCGTTCCAAAATGACCTGCACATGCTTGTTCAAATATTTTTATGGTAGCTGTCTTAAAATCCTTACCGGGTAATTCCAGCATCTCATTCTTTTCTGTGTCTTATCTGTCGATTGTCTTTTTCCACTTCCGTAGTTAGCTTCATGGTTCTTGCTGTGCGGAACAATTCTTCAGCAGAATCCTGGACACTTGTGGGTATTAAGTGAGGAGTTTTGGTCTCAATTTAGCAGACTGTCACTCTGTCTGATTCAGTGACAATTCCATTTTCAGAATGCTGTCGAAGTGCTTCTCTGGCCTGGCCTGCCGGTCTCCTGTTCATCTCTGCTGGTGCTGCCCGTGGTGGGCCTCCTTGGTGCAGACAGAGGCCCCGCCATGGACGCAGACATCTCCTGGCGTTCCCCGGGCTTCAGGGCCCGCTGGCCTCCTGCTCAGGGCCTGCGGGTGTGGGGAGGGAGACAGCTCCCTGCCTCCTGTCTCGGTGGGAGGCCAGCCCTTCTTCCTCTTCTCTCCCTGTGGCATCCGCCGTGTCATTTCCAGGTTCTCTCACTTGTGCTCGGAGAGGGAAGCAGGAGAGTGTGTCCAGGTGAGCGCATGCCTGAGTTGCTATCTGCACCCATCACACTGGGGCTCTCTGGGGAGGGTCCAGCCCCTGGTGAATTTAAAGGCCCTGAGAAGCTTTGTGCGTTCAGGGCAAGAACCGCCATTATGTGAGGTCCCTTTGCACATCCAGCAATGTCACTCAGTTCTCACTGCCTGTGTGCTGAATGTGAGCCCATTTTACAGACTAGAAAGCCGAGGCCTAGTGGGATCGAGTGACTGACAGTTGCACAACCAGGGAGCACCCAGAGCTTCTGGCTTCAGGAGCCCGTCACCCCATCTGCTCCCTGGAGCAGTCCTGTGGGGCTGCAGGCAGTGTTCTCAGGCCTGTGCAAGGGAGGCGCTCGGTGTGAGGCTGTGTGCACATTAAACTGAGGGACCGGCGAGGGAGGATGGGTATGGAGGACCTGAGGCCACCTGGACCTGGGTGACGGTGACCTCGGGGCATGTTGGGCCCTGTGATCCCTGACGCCCAGCCCACACCAGGCTGGCCCCAGCACCGCCTGCACCCCCACCGAAGACTGCCCAGCCCTGCCTCACCGCCCCGCGGCTGCACTTGGCTCTGTCCTCTTCCAGTGCTCATGAGGTCAGAGTATTTGCTGGGCGTTCAAGGTGCAGCCCTCATGGGGGCGGGGGTGTCCTGAGGCAGCAGGAGGCAGGTGGCTGGCCCAGCACCCTGGGCTGCCTGTGGACAGCTGGCCAGCAAGCCACTCCCCAGGCGGACTGCCAGCGTCTCACCGGCGCCTGTGACTGCAGCTGCATGCCTGTCGGGTCTGGTCCCTCCTGAGCCTTGTGTCCCCGTGTGAGGAGGGAGGTGGTCTGGAACCCCTGAGAGTCTCAGGTGACAGTGGACCAGAGGCCCCTGGAGCCATCAGAGCTCAGGCTTTGGAAGCAGCTTGGCAGTTCTGAGCCGGCTGCCAAGCCTTGATGCTGCCTGGCTGTGGCCCTGCCCAGACGTCTCCCGAGGGCCTGGCCATAGGATGCCATGTGCCCACCATGTGAGCTCCCTGCCAGGACCATCCCCGTTCTTACACCCGAGGGACTTCCAAACCCAGAGAGCTTTGTCTTGTGCCCAAGGTCACCTAGCAGGGGACAAGCCAGGATTCAACCCCAGCATTCTCTGCTGGGCCCTCCCACAGCCTCCTGGACACGTCTGTAACCCTGTATACACAGCAGCCACTCGCACGTCCCCACACCACTGGGAGCCTGGAGCACTCTAACTTCTGCTTTCTCCCTTGGACACGGCTGGCTCCTGGGGAGCAGGGTGGGATCCCCTTGCGTGCTCCGTGACATACAGCAGGCTCTCCATGCTGGTGGCTGTTTTCCCAAGCCATCTCACAGCTCCCAGGCTGTGCCTTCCCCGACAAACCCAGCACTTGTGGTACAAGAGACAGAGCTTCTCATAGACTGCAACCTGCAGGCCCGGGGAGTGAGGGGGACACAGGAGCCTGCAGAGGGGCCCTGAGATCACGCCCCATGGTGAGACCCAGGACCTGGAGGCACACCCTGCCCGGTCCCTGCTGTGGGTGAGTCCACCGTCACAGAGGACGAGAGGTTTGAAAGGTGAAGGGTCTGCGGGTGGCCCCCCAAAGGGCACTGCTGCTCCCAGGGCTCCCGAGCATCCACTGGGGCCAGGCCCTCCCCAACTCCTGCAGCTCCCACTGCCCCTAGGGGCTCAGGGAGGAGCAAGAGCAGAGAGCACCAGTCTCCCCAGCCAGATGCCTGTCTTTCCAGAAAGACCCAGGCTGGCCGTTCCCTGCCCGAATCCAGGGGCTGCTGGATGCCAGGCTGGCTCCCTCGGCCTCCTCTCTGCCTTCCTCAGCCCAGGCCACAGCTGGTGCCCTCAGCCTGGCATCCTCAGCCTCACCCTTGCCACTTTCTCCATCCCTGTTGCCTACAGCGTCGAGTCGAGGTGCCATCCCACCTGCTGCACGCTCTGTCCCCAGCGCCGTGCAGAGATGGGGACCCAGAAGACCTGACCCAGTGTGAGCTGGGAGTGGGACGAGGGATTCACTGCGCACTAAGCTCACACACAGGCTGTGTGCTTGCCCTGAGGACGTAGGTGTCCCCGCGGGGACATCAGGCAGGCCGCTGGCAGCTCAGGCTCCAGCCCGTGAGAGCTGGGCTCCCAGGCCTCCACCTCTGAGCTCTGAGCTGTGCCCTCGCCTCCTGACAGCCACCTGGATGGCTCTGGGTCCCCAAGCCAACAAGGGGAGATCTGCCTCTCCACCCCCTCCCTGACAAAGGCTCCTTGCCCACCTAGGCTGCCACCCCGCCCCAGGGGCTTCTTGATTCTGCCACCCAGGGCCCCAGCCCCTCTGCAGGGCCCCAGCCAGCCTATCTGAGGGCTCCCACTGCTCACCACACAGCCCCGACTGTCCCTGCCCGCCCTCTGCCAAGTGGGTTAAACCCAAAGGTGGGCACCACTTCCTGCTGGCAACCTGCAGTGCCCATCCCCTCCATGAACCGCAGAAGACCTGCCCTGACCGTCCCTGCCAGTCCTGCTCCTGCCCCCACTGTCTCCTGCACTGGCCTCTAAGCCTTGGTGTGTGCAGGGCCCAGGACCTCTCAGGACCTCTTGGGTGCTGGCAGTGCCTTCTGGTCCCTTCTCACCTAGCCTCATCCCGGAAATGCAGGCGAGAGCTGCCCAGAGCCCTCCGGACCTGCCTCCTCTGGGACCCGGTCACCAGGCCTGGTGGGCCCTCCACCACCAGCTACACCTCTGCCCTCTCACCAGCAGCAGCCTGTCTGAGGCTGTGCCCTGGGTCTGCGGCACACCACTTCCTGCCCTGCCACTCCTGTGTGTAAGAGCGCACCACCCACTGCACACCCTGGCACTGCCCATTAGTACAGCTCACACCACCCTCCTGCTGCCCCATACTGCACCGGGCTAAGCCCCGTAGGACCCGCAGGGGATGAGGCCTAGCTTGGCCTCTGCTCAGAGCGAAGGGGTCACAAAAGACTCACTGGGTGACTGGGCCGTGCCTCCCCCCAGGGCCCGGTTTGCCTGTCGTAAAATGAGGGTGTGGTGCCGCTGTCCTTCCCACCTGGTACTGGTGCACGCAATCCCTACAGGGTCTCCGCTGCAGCCCCTCCACCAGGCTACGCTGGTCCTGCCTGACGTTCCCATGACAAAGCAGGAGTCGAGGACCAGGACACGCGAGGACAGAGTCCTCCCACCTTGGAGGCCTGCGGGACTCGGGGAGGACGACACCTTACTGCCTCTTTCCTCCTGCAGCCACCAAAGAACCCTGCCCTGCAGCAGCCCTGGGCCCTGCACCTCCCTCCCCAAGGGTGGCCTGTGGGGTCAGTAACCAGAAAAGACCTGCAGAGGACTCCACAGGGGCCTCACAGTGAGGGCACACACAGAATGGGACACAGAATGCCAAACCGACAGGCGGGTTGGGGCCTCCCTGCGCCGGCTCTGTTGCTGACTCCAAGCTTTGCTCCATCTGTCGCCAAGCTCCGCCCCCTGCATCCACCCCACCGCCCCTCCAAGACGCCATGCTGGGTTTGAGCAGGGGGCTTATCCACTGTGAGAGTGTCAGGGCTCTTCTGGGACCTCAAAGTCCCCTGGGCAGGGTCCCCAGCCACCCAGGGGCTTCTCTGACTACCATGCCCAAGGGTGAGATGGAAAGAGAGGCAGCAGGCTGTCCTCAGGAGCCAGGCAGGGCAGGGGACGGCCACCCTGTGTTCTTCCGGGAAGTGAGCCTCACCCTGCAGGGCCGGAAGCTGTGCAGAAATGGTGTGTCCATATCAGATTATCACACATGGTCCAGACAGTCCTAGATGTACAACAGGAAAAGGAAGCCGCCCACATCACATGTGTGCTTCTTCACAGAGGCGGAGGGCCACAGCCCTAGGGGACAAGGGCCACCACTGCCTCTGTGCCACCCAGCACCATGCCCATCAGGGGGCGGAGGGATGGGTGGGTGGATGGATGGACGGCTGCAGGACAAGCTCGGGAATGTGTGGATGGCATCATGGTGGGACAAGGCTGTGACTGGGCCCCGAGAGCCACAAGGCACTGGGCAGGCAGGCGGCCTGGGACATGGCTGCTGCTCCCGACCGCACTGCTGGGGGCCGCTCTCCTCTTCCTGTCTCCCCTCGGCGCCTGCTCAGTGTCTGCCACAGAGTGCGTGCTCAATAAATACCCATTGAATTTAACGCATCTCAATTCAACCAACATTTATTGAGCGCCCACTGTGTTGGGGTCACAGCCCTACCTTCCTCGGTGCAGAGGGACACCCGGGAGGCGGGTGGCCATTGCTGTGTGCAAATGCTCTGTGCAGGCAAAGGCAGCACAACAGGATCCAGAGCCAGGGACCCCCTTGGGGGCACTGGAGGAGGCTGGAAAGGGCCCCGAGAAGAGAGATGGACCCCGCAGGCTCGCGGGGCAGGCAGACAGCAAGGCTCGCCTGGGACAGGCCCAACCACAGCCCAGGCCTCATGGCTGCTTCCAGCCACGTCAGGAAACGAGGTGACATCACTCGGACAGAAGCACAGGCACAGTCAGACACAGGGGCTCCTGCGTGGAGGAGGCACCAGGGCAGCCCGGGGAAGCGAGGCAGGACGCAGCCGCAGTCACGGTCACAAGGCAAGGGTGGCAGAGGCCAGGACGCACCCAGGGTGCATGTGCCATGCAGGTTTGCAGGCAGCTGGGCTGTGGTGGGTGGCGGGGACATGCCAGAAGCTGTGGAGCTGGCAGGCAGGCCCCTGCAGCTGTGAGAGTGGCCAGCACAGTCTGGCCTTGCAGGGGCCTCCCCTCTCAGCCCACAGGTCCCGGAATGGCCCAGGGCACCCACAACCTGGCATCTGCAAATGTGAAAATGGTGTTGGGGCAAGGGCTACGCACACGGGTCACACAGCCTGACAGTGGCAGCTGTCTCTAGCCGGCTGTCTCCCTGCAGCGTCTCTTCCCTTGGTCCTGGGCCACAGAGTACAGTGGGAGTTGCGGGGGACAGTAGTGTCGGGCACCGAGGAACCAGGCTGGCAGACGAGGCCTGCCCACCCCAAGGGGATGGACTGGACGCCAGAGAGCACTGTCCTCAGATGCCCCAGTGCTCACTCTAGGTCCTGGAGCTAATGTCTGGGCAGGGAGGGCCACGGGGCTGCTCCCAAGCTGGGGCACACGAGGGGCACACACATGCCGGGGAGGAGCACAGAACCCGGACAGGGACACAGGCAAAGGGAGGGCTGCAGGGCAGGTGTGCAGCTGCCCCCAGGAAGCCCAGCCAGCCATGGGAAGACTGGGCCCTGCCCACCACATGGCTGCAGGCGTCCCCTTCCTGGGGCAGTGTTGGGGTCGCTTGCCAGGCCGACAGCAGCCTTGGGCACCCAACTCTGAGATCCTGGAGGCAGAGGCAGGAGGAGACAAAGGTCCACGCAGAAGAGCACAGCTGTCCTAGTTGCGGCCACCCTGTGACAACCACGATTCCAGGCATCCGTGCCTCCATGCAGCCCTCTCCTATGGCCACTTTCAGCAGGCAGCAGCAGCGAAGTGCAGCTCAGAGTCATGGCGGTGAGGGTGAGGATGAGGATGGACACGGCCCTTCCCCGTGCACCTACTACCTGCCAGGCAGGGCACCACCGTGCCCAGCCAAGTATCCCAGAGACCCGTGGGGCAGCCGCGCAGAGCCACCCCGTCACATGCGGGTCAGGGGGGCTGGGTCTGAGCTCGGTCAGTGTCCTGAGAGTCCTGAGAGCCAGGACCTCTCCTCTGTGCCTCGCACCCACGCCCACACCTCCTGGCCTCTGCTTCCAACCTCAGCCCCCACCTGGGCTGCAGAAATGACCACCTGCTAGGCCCTGAGGGGCTCCCGCTGGCGCCCCCTGCTGGCTCATCCAGGAGTGACAGCAGTAGACTAGATCAGGTTTTCTCTGTCCTCCAGCTTCGCTCTCACCTCAAGTCTTCACCACACCCCAGCTCAGGCAACGCCAGCCTGGTCACCAGCCTCTCCTGCACCTCGCCCAGGAGCCCCGTCGCCCACTCTAGCTCTGGACTCGCCTGGACCATGCCCCCATCCGCTCTGCTGGGAATTAGGCCTGGGAGCTCTTTCTCCCGTGACTCAGGACCCCTGCCCAGCAGCTCTGGGAGTGTCACTAGGAGACCCCGTGCCATGGCCACCGCACGCCGACTGATTGATGTCCACACGGGTACGTGGTGAGTGGAGAGGCCTCTGCTCTCCTATCTGGGTGCCCTCGCAGGGCCAGCTCACTGTCACATGTCTTAAGGAGCCAGGCTGATATGCAAGGGGCTGCGCGGTGCTGGGGCCCCAAGGCTGGAGCCTCCATGTGCGATGCAGCTCTGGACTCAGAAGAGCCACTCACGTGAGTAGAAGCTGTCTCCAGGCGCTCTGGGGAGTGGCTCTCGCTCCGGCCCACTACTGTGCGACAGAGACTGGCTGTCCAGGTCTGGAGAGTTCGTCCTCGTGTCGGTGTCACCCTTGAGCAGCAGCCAGCTGGTCTTCTGCAGAGTAGAAAAGGTCGCATGAACTTGAAGCTTACCAGCAATGATGGAAACAGGTCCCTGGAGCCTTCTAGGAGCCTCCTGTAGTCTACGTGCAGGCCTCACCATGAGGAAACTCCATGTGAGCAAGGCCCAGCTTTTATGAAAGTCTCACCACATAGGGGGACTGGAGCATGGGACGCATTCAGGGTAAATGCTACTGTCCCATTTTACAGATGAGGAAACGGAGGCACAGGGAAGGCAGGGGCCCAAATGGCACCACTGGAGCAGAGCCATGCCTACTGTTCACACCTGTGCCTCCCTGGCGAGAGCTGCGCCCACAAAGTCTAAAACCTTTAGCCTGGGACCCTGGTGGAAATCCCAACCTGCTCTAGAGCCGTCATCCCCAGTGCCCCCAGAATCCATTTGGGCACAGCACATCCTCCTCAGTTACAGAGCCAGGGCCAGGTTGCCTGGCAACCAGCCAGGATTGGGGGAAGAAGACTCATCCTGAGCCCAGGATGGAGGCACTGGACACACCCCACTGTGGACCTCCAGGAACCCAAGGAACAGAGGAGCAGAGGACCCTGCAGCTGCAGAGGGGATTGGCACAGAGCCATGGGGCTCTCAGAGTGAAAGCTGCTCCCCTAGTTACCTTCCTGCTGTCCTGGTCAAAACTTCCATCCTCCCCGTCCAATCGTCTTGCAGCTGGAAGGGAAAAATAAATTTGTAGAGGCAACACACCAAGAATTCTGGGTTTCCCACTTCACCGCTACAGTCAGAAACGAAAAAGGAGACAAGAAAGGGCAACGGCGAGAGGGCCTCTGAGCAGCTGGGGACGCAGGTGAGTTGGAGCACGCTCTGGGGGAGCCTCCAGGCGGAGGACACATGCCCGGAGGTGGGGAAGCAGCCCCTTGTGTCAGCCCCACTCACACCGGAGGGGGAGACAGTCACATCCTCAGGGGCAGCCGCCTGCATGGCGAGGACGCCTGCGCAGCAGGCAGGGTGCGGAAGGGACAGCTCCAGCCCAGAGCACTCTGCACATCGCCGCCTCTCCGCACCGGACCCTGCAGGCCGGGCTTCACATCAAGGCACAGATTGGGCACCGGGGCTCGGGGCAGTGCCTTGCTCAAGGTCACCGACTAGTGGGGACAGAGGCTGACGGGAACCTTGGCAGACTGTGCCCAAAGTCTTTGTCTCCCCCACCTCGCTGCCCACAAAACACAGAACATGAAGTGATTTATGCCACCGGGCAGAGTCCATGCAACAGAAATGAAAAATACAACCGGAAATGAACTCAATGAAATGCGCAAGCAAGCATTCACTTTGCATAGTTCGTTTACCAAGAACACTACATGCAGCATTTGGGGGAGGGCATCCCGCAGGGCTGCCCCGATTCCCAACCAGCGAACCACACGAGGCATGCGGAGGTCCCGGCATCCAGCCAGCCAGCGCACAGACCCCATGCCAGAGTGCCAGCCCCATGCACACACGACTGAGCAGAAACCCGGTCTCCTGGGCACAGGCCCAGGTCTGGGTGGGACACACCCACCAGGGTGGGGTTCTTACCTGCAGCCAGGGGCGAGCTGGGCCCTGCCAGTCTTTTGGAGCGCCCTGCCTCCTGCACCACCAAGGACAAGACTGACACCAGGCCAGAAAGCTTGGACATTGGGGATTGGGCTACGGGACCTTGACAAGATAAGGCCAAAATCGAAGACTGAGCACTTCCGTTCTGCACACATGGATGTTTCCCTACTCTGTGGCCCCCTGCTTCACTGCTGTCCAGGAGAGAGAGTGATTTTCAAGGTGAAAATAAGAAGCCCTGCTCTCTACTCCCAGAGGCGACCTGATGGCGAGTCTGCCAAGGAGGCCATGGTGGGGAGGCAGGGGCAGGGAGCACATAGGCCGGCACAGGCCCAGCAGCTGGACGCTCCTGTTGCTGGGCAGCGGTGGTCTCAAGTGTGGCCATACATCAGCCCAGGCTTGGCAGCTGCCCATCATCACCTCCCAGGGCAGAGCGGGCCTGGGGACCTGGAGGTCTGGGAGCAAGGCCACCGTCCATGCAGGCAAAGCCCCTGGGACCAAGTCTGCTGGCCAAAACAATCCAGCCACACTCCTGCAAGCCAGGAGCCCCTGAAGTGGCAGCCACTCTTGGGCTGATCTGCAAGTTGGAAACAATGAAGGGCCTCTGGATGTGAAATCCCAGCCCTTGGGGCTCAGGCCAGGGATCCATCTAAGACCTTCACAGGGCCGTGGACTATGGGGTGGTCACACGACCTGGCCGCAGAGCTATCCAGGGCTCCAGATGGCCCCACCTTGGCTGGGAGGGGACACTGCTCAGACTCAGCCAGTTCCCTTGGCAAACACTGCCCTGCAGTCAATCAAGCTCAGCCAAGAGCGCCTCAGAGCCAAGTGCGCCAGCCCACAAAGCCGCGATGGGTTCTCTCGGGAATGAGGAGCCTGGCAGGAGGATTTGCACACAGTGCTTTGCAGGATTGGTAGCTTGCGTCTTCGGCAGCTCTGAGCCTCGGTTTCCTGATCTGTGAAATGGGTAGACGATGCCTACCCCTCCAGGTTGTGAGGGTCACATGAGAAAACCGATGTGAGTGCTGGAATAACGGGCAGCTCAGGAGGAATTAGGAATAAACACGAGGCCATGAGGAGACTAATTTGTAGCATGCTGTTCTGGAGCGTCAGGAAAAGATAGATCAATTCAGGACAACCAGAAAAAGAGGGTGTGGTGTTCAGTCACACAGGCAGCTCCTGAGCCTGGGGATTCATCTGCCTTGAGGATCCCTCCCCTCTATCTCCGAGTCTCTTGTTCCTCCCTAGATACAGAAGAGGCCGGACTTCACTCTTTCCCGTACTGCATCTCAGGACTCATTCATAATTTGAACACCTATACATGCAACCTTTTAAGTTCTTATTCATTCCTCTCCACTTACTCATCTACTCTTTCAACTTCCCACCCACCCACCCACCCATCCTTTATCCTTCTACCCATCCATCCATGCACTCATCCATCTGCTGCTCATCCATTCATTCATCCATCCATCCATCCATGCACCTTCTTATCATATCATCCACTCACCCATCCATTCAGCCTTCTCTTTGTCAACTTCAATCCATTCCTTCGCCCACCGATGCATCCACTCATCATGCAGCCCTCTGCCCACCGCTTCCTCCCTGGATTTGCCCTCTGTGTGCCAGGAGGCCCTTCATCCTTTGTCCCCTCCCTTTTCCTGAGCAGTCTGCACCTGTATGTCCTGAGTACAGGGCATGCAGAAAACCTCAGACAAGACCCTTCCTCCAGAAGCTCCCAGGCCCCAGAGGTGAGGCAGCAGGAGGAACAAGTGCCTTGATGGGGGAGAAATTCAGCTCAGAGGTGCTCTTGCAGTAACACACATCTGATGAGGACTTCCTCACCTCCTTACAGAACTCCCTGGCTGTCCGGGGGCTGTGAGAGCTGTTGAGCCGTGCCGGCCACTGTTCCCTAGGCCACCGTCCCCTCTGGCTAGGGGAGGAGCTCACTGGAGCTCGGTCTGCAGGGTCTGCTCTTCCCTTGGCCTCTAGACCTGGCTTCTAAGGAAGACCCATCAGCATGCTTTATCCTGATTTTCCCAGAGCCACACCTGTCTCTCCAATTGAAATGAAGTCGGAATTGCACTGAGAGAGAGAATGAGCAGTGTGTGCATGTGTGTGTATGCACTGTGCCTGGCCCCTGGCATCTCAGCTCCCAGAGACACAGCCATGTGTCCCCAGCACTGGACAAAGCCCAGCAAATCAGCTTAAAAAATATTCCTTGGATGACGAAGCTCACTTCCTCCCCAGCCTTGGCTCCTTCTCTAAGGACCTAGGACACCTGCTCACTGGTGATATCAGGTCTCACGGTGGCATCAGAAGGAAAGGGAAATGACATTGGTGACTCTGGCCCCTGTCACTGCCTCTGCCTCCCCCCTCTTGGTGACCGGCCCTCTGTCTGCGTGTTCTGCACCAAGTCTCGTTTACCCTCCGGATCACGGGAGGCTGCAGCACCCTTCGTCCTGAGCAGCCACCTTGGGAAAGCGGGCCTCTGGGTCACTCCCTGTGCCCTCGGGACCTCGCTCGAGGTCCCTATGCTAGTTCGAGGCCTCGTACTTTCTTCCTGGAATCAGAGCCTGCACCCCCTGCCCTCTGCTCACATCCCAAGAGATGACCCCAAAACCAAACTGAGAGTCAGCCCCCAACACTGGACCCTCAGAGGCACAGGAAGCAGCAGTTCACTTCCGTTTTCAAAGGGGCTGAAGGACTAAGGCCTGTCACTTCCACTGTTCCGTGCGGGTGGGTGGCCCTGAGAATCCAGTGTCCTCCCGGGCCCACACCGAGCTCGCGGGAATGCTGTGGGGAGCCCAACTGACACGGTCTAACCCTGGCCCGCTTCCCTCCATCAGGGCCCTAACCCCAGCCCCCCTCTGTGTCCCAGCACCAGGGTCACCTCCCAGAGACTTCCTCAGAACCCTAAGTGACGTGGCCTCGCTCTCACAGAGGAGGAGACAGGCCCCAGGAAGGGAGGATTCACTCCTAGTGCCCTGGCCAGAAGTGGAGGGGCTGTGGTTTGCCCTGTGTGTCTCCTACAAGTGACGTGAGTGACTCTGGAACATGGAAACGCAGAGGGGCTCTAGACCCATCTGTCCCCACGGTGCGGGGCAGGGTCTGCCCCCCCTTTCTCGTCTCCCATTTCCTGTCCTTTGCCATTCAACTCCTTTTGCCTCCTTTTTTTTTTTTTTTTTTTAAAGCCAATAGCTATAACCAGGTGGGGTTGGAACAGTGCGGAGACTCTGTCAGGCCCTAGGGCCACACATGTCCCCTGTGCTGATCCCAGCATCAAGGGTGATGAGAGGAAGCGAGCCCAGCACGGGGCTGCCACACATTAAATGGCTGCTCTGCGACACTCACCATCCTTGTCCCCAACGCCGCATGATGCCACCCTGGGCCTGGGGCCTGGACACCCTCACCCCCGAGGCCAGTGCCCAAGGGAGGAGCAATGCTCACAGGAAAACACAAAGCTCCAGCGAGCCCAACGAAGTGATGGTCAGTACACACATTAGTTAAAGGGACTGGAGCTTTTAAGCTTTTCCGTGATCTTCAGCCAGTCAGACAGTCCAGTAATTCAACTTCCTCTCCCAGAGTCTGCCCCAGTGGGACGGGGTTTAAAAGGAGCTGCTTAGGCCGAACCTTCTCCCCTCTCCCAAGAGGGCACTGGAGGGTCAGATCCCCAGGGGAGCACGGAGCTGGGTGTGGGCCTCACACACGGGCATGTGTGCGCGCACACACACACACACACACACATACACACACACACACACACACACGCTCTTCCAGTAGGATCTAAGCCACCAGATTCGCAAAATTTGTAAAAATGTCTCATGGGCTGGAAACCAAGCACATAATGCACTGTCTTTTGAGGGTTCTCTAAGGAGGCCTGGCCACAACTGCCCTATGATTTACACGGCCCACCTACATTGAAGCCACGACAGAATTGCTTGTGTTTAGGCCCAGGCCATGGCCAAATACTTGGGGAGGGGACAGAGACAAGGAGAGAGGGAGGGAGAGGAAGAGAGAGAGGAGAGAGAGGGCAGAGAGAGAGAGAGAGAGAGGCAGGGGGGAGGGAGCTCTTTAAGATCTATTTCATGGAAGAACTGATGTGACAAAATTCAGGAATGATAAAGGGGCTTTGGCAGTTGCCTGGGGCTTTTTAAAAATAACAGTTATATTGCCTTTGGATAGGAGTCATGTTTATATCCTGAAACTTTTTTTCTTTTGGTACTGGGGATTGAACTCAGGACCTTGCGCTTGTGAAGCAGGCAGGGGAACCACTGAGCTACATCCCCGGCCCTATATCCTGAAACTTTAAAAATGCAATGACGGCCACAGCATACCTGACTTCCTGTGTCTTGAGCTGGCCTGCAGGGCTGGTGGGCATTTCACAGCTGTCCCCTGCGGCCGCCCGCTCCTTTACCCGGGTTGCAGCGCCCGGCCTGAGACCCGGAGCTAACAGTGCTTAGTGAAAAGGCCGCCAGTCATTCTGAACCTCGGTACCAGGACCGCAGGACATGTGGGTCCACGCAGGTTTCCAGCACAGTGCCACGAGGGCACTCATGGGACGCTCCTTCCTCGGGCGAGTCTGTTTCCCCCATAACACGAGAGAGCCAGTCTGGCAGTCTAACAGTCTGACTCGCCTGTCCCCTCTGATCCATCTGGGGCCCTCAGGCTCCCAGGGTGAAACTCACAGTGCTCTGGAGAACAAGACGTTTAACTCACTGTTTCTTGCTCGGGAAGAGGAAGAAATGCATGAAGCCCAGAGCCTGGTGCCATCACGGAGGAAGTGAAAGCAGATCTGCCACCCACATTCACACAAGGGAACTGGATTTGCTAGGTGGCCACGGGAGGAATTTTCACAGGATTCCACCGAAAAGTTCGCATCCGGGCGGCAGCCGCTCCCTCGGGGATCTAGACAGCACTTCCCATGGGGGAACCCTCCTCTCGGCCTTGTACACACTGCCAGCCCTGCTCGCACACACCACACCCGGGTCTCAACTGCGTCTCCATATCTGCTACTTCACAAGGTTCTCACAAGCAGTCTGGGCAGAGGGCGGGCAGAGGGGAAGGACCTGACTTGCAGATGAGGAAACAGGCTCGGACAGCAAAGCAACAAGCCCCCAATCACAGACACCCCATCGGGGTTTCCTGCTCTGTGATCCAGGCAGTCGGCTCCTCCACACCTGTCCCAGGTGGTCTCATGTGGAGAGGAGAGGAGAGGTGGAGCCAAGGGCCAGGAGACGCCCTCGCTGCTCAACTCCTCCAGCCCCTATTCGCTAAGGTGAGAAACCCCTTCAGTGGAAGGCCAGGCACTGTGCACTGTGGTCAGGAATTCTTAAAACATGAGACCTAAATTCCCACTGAGGTGTCAGTGGGTGGTTCTCGGGGCTGTTCAGTTTTCCGAAAACCAGGCCGTGATCTGTTGGGAAGCCACCGTCCCTCCCATCTCCACTGGAGCCAGTCTGACTGCTTCCCTCCAAGTAGCATCGCCAGGGCCACTGGGTTAGGAACCGCGCCGATGCCCTTAGAGAAAGCGCCTCCCTCACCCACTGGAGGGCGCACATTTGGATCCAGACAGCGAGGCCCCATGCCTGCGCCACACCAAAGGGCACGTTCAGAAGCGAGTGGGGTGACAGGCATGCAGGGTGAGCCACGGCAGCGACTCCGACTGTACCATGCTGTTTGTAGATAGGGGGTTTCCTATAGATGTTATCTTTTACGCCAGTGTCTGGGAAAGAAGAGAGAAACAAAAAGGAGAGAACAGGCGGGTAAGCAGCAAATGTGACGATTCCTGCCCAGTGGCCCAGAGTTAGAATCACCAGGAAGGAGCTGGGCTGAAGCCTCACACCCAGATCACGCAGCCCCCACTCCAGATGCCACCTGCTCTGAAGGGGACAGGGGGGATGGGGGGACAGGGAGAGAGGCGGCCAGGGAGGCCAGGGCAGCGAGAGCCCGGAGCGCCAGGAGCAGCCAGCAAACGGCCCTGCTCTCCAGGTCCCAGGAGGACAGAAAGGTCTCCAGGTGCGGGGGACTTGGGGACAGACTCACACCCACGTTTGTTTGGGGGTGGGCAGCTCAGCGTTTGGGGGAGCTGAGCAGAGTGGTGGGGATTGTGGGGACCTGCTGAGTCAGGGCAGGCGCGGCAGCTGCCCCGGTGACTCGATGACTCGGGGTGACAAGCGCAGCGTGCAGGGACCTACCTGGGACGTGGAAGTGGCGCGGTGCCTGCTGGTAGGTGGTGGAGGGCGGCCGGCTGTCCGAGAGCACCGAGAGGCTGGGTGTGCTGCGGCCACTTTCACTGCCTCCAGATGGCAGGGCGGAAGGGCAGGCGGGAGAAAAGCAAACAGTCTCTGAAGCGAAAGGCTGACTGGCACAGAGCCCCTCTCCTGCCCTCTGCCTCGGCAGGGACGGCAGCGCCCACAACCCTCCAGCCTGGGCCTGATGACTTGTTAATCCAACCTCGAGTTGAGCGTTCAGCGGTTCCATAAAGGAGCCGTAAGCAGGGCCAAGAGCTCGCTGGTGCCGGGGAGGTGGACCCGGCCGCCTGGCAGAGCCCGGGATCCTGGGCACATACCCCAGGGCCCCTGCGCCATGGCTGGCCGTGACCCAGAACCCTGCAGCTCGCCGACACCAAAGCCTGCCGCAGTCCTCCTTGAAGAGGCGGAACCCACCAATGCCACCGAACAGGGTTCAAGGCCTCGAATGTGGCAGAAGTGTCCTCAAAAGCCACTGAGTAATTTTGCCAGCCACAGCGTGAGAGAAAATCTGTATCAAACAGTGGTCATGTCCCCAGATACAGCCCCTTCGGAACGCGCCCCAGCCAGGCTCCGTTCTCAGCCCATCTGGAATCACTTCTGGCTCTGGGGAGGAGGTTGGATTAGTAGTCACAGGTGGAGGTGGCCGGGCTGCCCGGGGGACACCCCTGTGACCCCACACGACGTGAGGATGGTGTGATGGACAGGATGTCACGGCACTGGACATGCTGACGGGAGGCGTGCGGCCACGCGAGACACCCCCACTCGCCCCACGGACCCCGCAGGGCACTACAACACAGCTTGGTGGTGGGGCGCTCTGGACTTGGGGACCTTCCTGGGACCCTGAGTGACCTTGCCATGGAATGGAACCTCCTCAGTGGTGAGTGTCAGGAAGGGGACCTGCCGGGACCCTGTGGGCTGCTCAGACGTTGGCTCACAGGGCCAGAGGGAGCCCTTGCCTGGCAGGGTGAGCCAATGGGGCAGCAGGACGGCACTGCAGCCACTGATGGAGCTTGAGGGGACTCTGTCCCTGGGCGCATCCCTCCAGAACACCACAGAACCTCCTGGGCTCGCCAGCCTGGGCTCCTGAGCCCCCTGGTGGCAGCCTGGGCCTTGCACCAGCGAGGAGAGAGACCACAGGTCCCCAAGGGCAGTGGAGCAGGACTTTAACAGAAGCCTGGCACAGACTTGGGGACGGCTGAAGGTGCTCATGCCAGCTGGAGTCAGGGGCTGCGATGGCTCGGCTCTGCCTTTCTGTCAAGAGCTCCTGGTGGCCAGGGACCCCACCACGTGCCAGAGAAGACTGCATATGTGTGTGCACCCCATCTCAGGAGCACCCTACACACGCACACACAGCTATCTCAGGGGCCCCCGCGGCTCTTATCAGACGGCAGAGGGCTAAGACCAAGGGGAGACTGAGGCACAGCCTTGGTGGCCTTGGTGGGGCCTCTGACACCTGCCACTGAATCCTGCCACCTCGGCCCCTGCTGACCCCGCTGCAGTGCCCTGTCCAGGTCCCTGCTGGGCTGATCTCCCTGGCCGGGCACAGGGCCCAGAGCCGCGGGAGGGCCCTGCCACCTGCAGGCTCCCTGCCTGCCCCCATGAGGCTGCACCTGAACCCAGTGTACCACTGACCGGGACCCCATGTCCTCTCACAGCACACCCACAACAGCCCTGAGGCTGTGGTCACTGGCAGGGCCCTGTCCTGGGAGGGGCTTGCTTGCCACTCGAGCCCAGCTTCCACCTTGGGCCTGGGAGGTAGAAACCCAGGACACTGGTGTCCCCGAGGCTGTGAGACGCCTCGCCAGGGCAGTGACGGAGCAGGCGTGGAGCCTCCCCCGGCACAGTGTGTGGATCCACCAGGCAGGGTCACGTCCAGAGCTCCCGCATCCACCAGAGGACCTGGGGTCCCTCGTCCCGGCCGAGGCCTGTGGCAGTTGGGCAGCCCAGGCCACTGCAGAAGCCTCCTTTGTCTTCAATTGAAACAAAAGTTTCAATTAAAACTGAAGAACAGTTTTGGGGTGCACAGGAGGTCCCTGCACACCCCCGCCACGTCTTGTCCTGTCCCTGATTCTGACCCCTTGCATCACGTGGATGTGACCCGTCTTCTGGGACAGCATGTTACACCAGCCCATGCGTCTCCTCGCTCCTCCTGGCAGTGACTAGCTGCCCTCAGTTTGGATGATGGTGCCAGTTCTGAGGAGCGCTAGCCAGGGACTCTGTGGAGCCCCGACCTAGGAATCATCTGCCTTGCGGGGACATCGGCTGTGGGTCTGGGGAGGAAGACCACCGCAGTGAAGCCCCCTCTTCGTTTGTGCCATTGCATCGTGGGCACCAGCACTGGTGGTGACGCCAGGCTGGGACGGTGTCCATTGTATGCTGCGCTGCTCCTCTCCTCTGTTCCAAGCTGGGAGGAGGTCGCACGTGTGGATGGGAGTCAGGCCATGCCCTCGATGGTGTTGCTGCCCACTGAGTGCTTCTGCGTGGATGCTTGTCCCTTCTCCCCATCTGCCTTTGTCTATCCCAGCCCTCCCTTCCTGCAATGTGGGCTCACAGACACCATGTCTCTTTGCTGCTCCAGTTGTGCCTGCCATGTCCTTGGTGCTCAGTGGCTCTTGGTGACCTTTCTCAAGGTGACAGCAAAGTAAAGCCAGAGCCTGTTATGGCCTCAGTCAAGACCCGTGCAGGTCTGTGTGTAGTGCCACATGCTGCCACTTCCTGTCTGCATCATTGACCACAACTACCCTGTAAGGTTGAGGGCCCAGGGACTCAGCAAGACGAAGGCACCCGCACGTACCCCAAGTGGGTGGGAAAGTAGGCTTGGCCCGAGGCTCACAGCTGGGCCCTCCCCTTCCCTCATGTCCTGGGGACTTCTCTGTGTCTTGGTGCCCTCCGGGGCAAGTTCTGGGAAGAGCCGGGGGCTCCCAGGTCACGGCAGCCACGGAAGTCAGGCAAGAGGCAGAGCTATGAGTGCCGGGCTACCCTGAATCTGGTACTGGAGAGAAGGGCTTGCACTGGTGGCTAAGCAAAGGTACCAGTGACCAATGCATGGGGATGGCACCAAAGCCACCCACGGGAAGTACCCACACCCCGCCCAGAACAGACCCCAGGGTGGCGCCTCCCGCATGGGGCAGGCTGTGGTGCAGTGGCCTCCGACGCACATTCCACGGGCAGGAGGGCGCCCTCCACATGCTCTTCCTGCAGGGGTGGAGGAAAGAAGGGACTGGTGGCCTTGCCCGCCTTCCCCTGGCCTCCCGGCTGAGGAGGGGCTGGCTGTGTTGGCCCGGAGCAGGGGCCACCGGTGGAGAAGGACCCACCCTGGAGGGGTGAGGGTTCCATGTGGGGATCAGAAATGCACCCCGGAGGAGTCTGCGAGTCAGCTCAGCTGCCTGGGCACCAGGTGAGAGTGTGGACAGCCCAGCGCCTGCCCTTGTCTCTGGCCATACACTGCCAGGGTCCACAGTGTGACAACCACTAAAGTAGGGAGGAGAGCTGCGGCCTGGAGAAAGTGAGGGGCAGCGTCAACCTGGGTGACTGTATGGCTCCTTGAGCACTCTGGGTTTGGGCCTGCGCCCTCGCTGTGGGTCCTCCGTGGGCCCTGAGTGACACATGGCACAGTCCTGGGTGTCTCCTGCTCTGGGGATGCAGAGTGATGGTCTTTGCTGCTTCACCAAGGAGTCAGCACCACCTGGAGACCGAGCTACAGGGACACCCGTGAAGGGTGAGACCGCAGGACACACACCCAGGGTGTTCTCCGTGGACACACAGGATGAAAATGCACAAGAGTGAGAGGACCCCATCTGGTGACCCTCGGTGACAGGGACCTCCCACTCCCCAGGGTGGGAGACCCAGAGCCATGCCACCCTGCAGCAGGGAGGGACAGGGAGCCCCCCAGCTGTGTCTTCGCTGTAGCCTCTGATGCTGAGCTTCCTTCTGTCATGTCTTGGTCAGTGAGGCTGCGTAACGGAACCCCACAGAGTAGGACCTTCAACAGCATGCGTCTCCCCAAAGTTCTGGGGGCCAGAAGTGGCAGCCCAAGGTTGCAGGGTGTGCAGCCCCATGAGGCTCTCTTCCTGTCTCCTGGCCTGCCAGCAGCCTCCCACGTGGCCTTTGCTCTGCACGTGTGCATTGCAAGACATCTGGGCCACTTGCTCTTCTTACACAGCGTCTCGCTCAGCTTCCCATCACTGTGACAAAGCATCTGACCTGACCCACTTTAAGGAGGAGAGGGGCATTTTGGCTCAAGGTTGTAGAGGTCTCAGTCCATGGTCAGCTGATTCCTTGCCCTAGGCCTGCAGCGAGGCAGAAACAGCATGGTGGAAGGGCATGGTAGGGAGAGCTGCTCACCTCATGGCAGCTGGAAGCAGAGGGTAAAAGCTCCAGAGAGGAAGGGGCCAGGGACAGCCACGTCCCCACGGCCAAATCCAAGGCCCACTTCCTTACCTAGGCTCCACCCCTGTTCCCATCACCTCTCAGCAGTGTGCCTAGCACTGACGAGGTCAGAGGCCTGGTGTCCCCGCCACTTCCAAAGCCTGTCAGCAGCCAAGCTTCCAACACCATGAGCCCGTTTGGGGCTAACTCAAGGCCTCCAGCCCTGGTGGACACCTGTGACCACCTATGACTTTATCTAACCTCGTGTACCTCTCTGAATGTCCTTTCTCCACACAGTCCTGGGAGGTCAGGGCTTTAACACAGGATGTGGGGGACCCTGTTCAGTCCTCAGCACAGGAAAGCACAAGGCTGGGGTGCCTGTGTCCATGTGTCCTCAGGGGGACATGGATGGTGGGCGGGCCTGTGTCCTGGCCAGACCCAGGCACTGGAGCCACGCAGACAGAGGCCTGGCCCTGCCCCCGGGAGCCCAGGCCAAGGGCATCTGGCCCCTCCACACTGCAGCGTCTGCCCAGTCCCAACACTGACAGTGCCATCCCCACAGGGCTGATGTGGGCAGGGGATGGGAGGGCACCGGGAGGCAGCCACGACCTCACCTCCACCCCGTGCCCTCTGCCTGCGGCTCCCTGTGATGGGCACCAGCATTTCCTTCTGGGAACACGTACACACCAACATGGACAGACCGGGCGCACGAGACACACACAGCGAGGGACACAGCATGAGACAGAGGCCGGGGACCATGCGCCACTGGGGACAGGCACCCCCGCCCAGAGCCTGGTGCCTTACCTCGGAAGTAGGGGATGTAATGATGTCGGAACACGGAGGTAGGGCTTGGGTGTTGGGACAGGGAGAGGCAGCTACTGGTACCGACGCTTGCAGTACCAGCTGCGGGCAAGAGAGCAGGTCAGTCAGCCTGGCTTGCCGGCCAGTGCAAAGCCCCAAAGCTTCCTGGTCCTCTTTGCTAGGAACATTTGGGGCTCCTCTCTCTGGACATGCACATCTCTTTGAGGCACCCGAAGGGGATCCCCAAGGAGGCCCTGGACCACGTCCTTGCAGATGTGGGCCAACCCACCCTCAGGAGGATGGGGTGATGGGCCCAGGGCTGCTGGGCCATGGCACTCCACTCTGGGGGGCTCCTTGGGGTCAAAGCGCTGGAGGCCTGTCTGTTCCCAACACCCTCCCCGGCCATGCCAGCCAGGACAGGGTCTTGGCTCTCTGGGACTTAGTGCTGGGCCCAGCAGTCGGCAAAGTGGGTCTTCCTGTGACACGGGGGCCAGGGCAGGCAGCAGAGGGGCTCGGGAGAAGGGCTCTGGGGAGTCAGCCACTGCCGTCCACCTGCTGCCCCACCTGCACACCTGCTTATGCATTCAATTGCTCACTCACTCATTCATTCACTCACCCATTCACACATCCATTCACTCATTCATCTCTCACTCATTCATATACCCATTCATTCATTCACTCACCCATTCACACATCCATTCACTCATTCATCACTCACTCATTCATATACCCATTCATCCGTTCACTCACCCATTGATTTGCTCACCCATTCACTCACTCCTCCCTCATTCAGCTCCTCAGTCTCTTGCATTATTCACTCAGTCTCTTAACGCTTGCCAAGCAAGTTGTACCGCATGCGTTGCAAGGAGTCAATGAAATGACTTTGCAAATGAATGGGTTTGATTTTTCCACAATTTGCAAAAATGAGAGCTGTACCCATGAATGTGAACGGGTCATGCACAGCTGACCAGGAAGAAAGCAGCCTGGAAAAGTCACTGAGAAGGCAGTGGCTGCAGGTGTCCCTGAGGCCCTGACAGGCTCGGGCCGGAGCTTCACAGCTGTTGGGGAGCAGCACACAGTGGGGCAGGTGGGGAGGAGGTGATGCGGGTGGGAGGACCCTCCCCGAGCTCTGGCTGGGAGAGCCGGGGGCGGCCGTCTCTGGGTGAAGTGTTATAGACATTGGGACCCCTCTTTGGGCCCGCTGGTTTCTCCTCTACAGCCTGTGTCTCCCCTGGGGACGGCCAGCGTCTGGCCTCCTGCCTCTGTGGTTTTTGCTTGCCTGGTATCTCTGGCCCTGACACACAGCTCGGCACTCAGGGCTCCCGTGTGCCTCCCGAGATGCGCCTCCCAGGGGGTGCAGCTCCTCTAGCCCACGGGTGGCTAGGCTTTGTTCCTTTTCACCTTTACATTGCTAACAGGATGGGCTCTCTGTTGCCCCCACTGGTGATCCCACCCCGCCATGTTTCTGGTTGCACATGGAGCCCCCTTGAGAAGAGCAAAGCAAGGAGAAGCCCAGCTCCACCCAGGGCCCGAGGAACCAGAGGTCTGAGTACCTGGACGGCTGTAGTGCTGGGGCGACCGCGAGGTTGGGGTGTAGCGCCCGAGGCTGACAGAGCCAGCGGAGCTGGGGCTGGAAGTCCGGCACTGCTTGTAGGACCGGTCGTCCTGATCCCCCTGGGAGGGAAGACCGGGCTGGTGAACACGCATGTCCGGGGTACTGCCCACCCTCGCCCACCCCATCGCTGCCCACCAGTGGGGGACTCAACCTGGCCTCAAGACAGAATCCCCCTGCTCCTGCCCGGGAGCAACTGAGGAGCCAGGTGGGCCGGCGGCAGTGCTGAGCATGGCCCCTGAGCCCATGGCGCCTCCCCTCCGCTCCCCTCGCCTGCCCATCCTGCGGGCTGGGACTTTGCGGGAGGACGAGGACTTGGCATTCCCCTCCTGCCCGGCCCTTCCTGTCACCCAGGGCTCCTTGGAACGCGGTCTGAGAACCACTGAGATGGCTCTACCCCAGTGGGGACTCCCCATGTGTGTTCTGTGGCCACTGCCAAAGGACAGAGGGTGCCCCTCCCAGGTCCAGAAGCCCAGCTGAAGGAGCCCTGCAAGTGCACACAGCACAGCCCTGGCCCGGCAGCAGGGTACTGCGGGGAGTGGTCACAGCACTGGTGTGAGATGGTATCGCACCTGGCACGGGCAGCAGGCTGGCCAGCCCTCTGCAGCATGGCACGGTGGCCTGGGTCATGCCAGCCTAGCCTGGATCCTGCTGAGGGGTGGCTGCCACTGCTTTGCTCCTCACTGAGCACAGGCGGGGCCTAGTCCAGCCCTCACAGTTGCCCGGCCTGTCTGAGCTGAGCTTCCTCACCAGGTCTCTGCTCACAGCCTGCCATGTCCTCCTCCATGCCACCTCGGGGCTCCTTCCTGCCTGTCCTCCCTGAGCCCCAGGCCTGTCCCACTCTGCCTTAGCATCTGTCCCAGGGTGTCCCCTCCACCCTGGGCACCCTCTGGACAGCCCCAGCACCTGCTGAGCACCTTACAGGTGTGCCCTCTGCCAGCCTGGACTTGGGCCACCGGCTGCCATGGGCTGAGGAGCCTGGGCCGAGGCAGCCACCTGGCCGTTTGCTCGGGCTGCCTGGTGCCAAGGTGTCTAGCCAAGGCCAGCCCCTCCTGGCTGCCGAGCAGCAGCAGGGTTGGCACAGTGCCGGCTCCTCTCAGGCCTCCTGGGGCTGTTTCTAAGGGGAGTGGAGAGGTTCTCCGGAAGATTCTTCTCCAAAGCTAAAAGAATCAAGAGGAGGGCCCTGGCCTGGGAGGGGAGGGGATTCATCCTTCTAGAACACTGAAGGTCAGGCTGGGAAGCCAGGATGGGGAGGCTGGAAACCGGGGACCCAGCCAGGGCGGCTGTGGCCCTGGTCACAGTGAGGACCAGAAGCCTACAGGCTGTGTCGCTTCCCAATGAGCCCTGGATGTGGTGTCCAGCTTGACGTCCAGCCCAAGAGGGACTTTGCAGTGAGACCCACAGCCCTGTGTGAGGGCAGCCGATGCCTCTCCTGGGGAGTCCCCTGCAGGTGACAGTGCATAGCTCAGCATGCCAGGGCTACTCAGCTCTGGTCATTTACGGTGTCCATGGTGATGCCAGCCAGCTCCTGGGCGAGATGGTGTGGCACGAGGGGCCAGGGAGCCCTCCTCTGCCTCTTCCTATAGCTTGTGATCCTAGCAAAGTTATTTGACTTCCCTGTGCCTCAGTTTCTCCACTGGTAACTGGGGCAGATCACAGAAGTTCCTCCAGGGGTGCTGAGCACAGAGTGAGGGTTCAAGTGTGCCCTGCTGTCCCTGTCCTTCATTCCTGGCTGCTGTGATGTCCCTGGACTGTAGCCACCTGAGTCCGAGTCTGACTGGCAGCCACCAGCACCACTGATGAGTGCGGGTAGGAAGGCTACTTGCAGGCACTTCCAGAGCGCTGTCCTCGAGGGCCTGGGCACTGCCCACGTGGACCTGAGCTAACCCAGGGATGCCACAACCCAGGCCACCACCCGACCAGTGGCCCTGCCCCAGGCATGGGCTGCAGACTGGGGGACATGCAGATGAGACACGACTACAGAAATAACTAACACAGGAAGGCGTCACAGCCCTGGGGGCGGACTGAGGCCCTGACACTGGTCATCTTTACAAAGCAGGCGGCACAGCGCCATGCGCAGACAGGGAAGGCATGCGGGCAGGTGGGTTACCTCAGTCGGCGTTGGCGAGAGCAACTGAGATGACTGTGGACACAACAGAGTGGCCTGTTAGTGCTGCAGCACTGGGCGGGTATGGGGACACAGGTCATCTGGTGACTGGCAAGCCACCCGGGGCCCGTTCACCCCACAGCCCTGAGACCCAGACAGGGGACCCCACCTGAGGAGGGACACAGACCAGGTGCAGGCTTGATTTTGGAGACCTCAGTCACGGTGCCCAGGAAGGACAGCCCCAGCGAATGTCCCCACCCACCACTGTCCAAGGAGACAGATTTCCCCGGGAAGTCTGCTGGCGGAGCGGGGCAAGTGGGGCCATCCGGGAGCCCCTCCTCCCTCAACTCGGGGCAGCAGGAGGAAGGCTGGGGAGTGTCGGAGCTGGGCGGATGCAGCCCGCTGCCCAGCAAAGCACTGCCCACCACCCACAGAGCTGCGGCCTTGGCCAGCAGGGGGCCAGAGGACACGAGGGCCCTGGACCCCAGTAAAATCCTGGGGGTGGGCAGGGGCCAGGAGGACTCTGGGCTCACAGCAGTGTCCTCCTCCTCCTCCCTGGGGAGGCGAGGGCAAAGGCTAGGTCCCCGAGTATCCGGCCAACCTTTCCTCAGCCTGGTCCCTCTGCTGCAATGAGCTTCAGGACAGCGGCAAGCCTGCCACCCCACCAGGGAAGAGAGCGACCCTGCAGACAGCAGATGCAGGGAGGGACATCCAGACACAGGGACCAGAGTCAGGCCCTGGGTCTGAGTTCTCGCCTGGTCTCACATGTGGCAGGGCAGGAGTGCTCCCGGTGCGGGTGACAGTGTGCCCCAGGGACAGTGGAGAGGACATTGGTAATGTGACCAGGCACCTTAGGACGTGTCCAGCAGCTGCAGTGAGGACCTCCAGTGAGCAGGTCAACCCCAGGGCCACCCACACAACCCGCTGCCAGTCAGGTGGGGACAGAGCCAAGTGGACAGAGGTGTGGCCTGCAGCAGGCCAGGGAGAGGCCCAGGTGCCATGAGGGTGACTCGAGCCACACGGCTGCCCTGCCCAGGGGACAGGCCCTCATGTTAGGAACTGCCATGGCTCACACTCGCCCTGCATTGGTGGGGAGACGTGGCCTTGGAAAGGATGGCTCGGGACACTTGCACCCATGCTGCGTTCCACTCACGAGTGTGGTGACGTCATGGGACCCTGGACACCCGGCACCTAGCCTGTGAATTCTGCTCACACCCGCCCATCCCAGCCTGGCATCTTGAGGCTGTCCAGGATGTCACTGTACCAATGATGAGAGCTCTGGCAAAGTCCCAGGGCCCAGGGGCAGAGTGGGACTTGAACCCGGCTCTCTAGAGGAACCACCTCCCAGAGGAAGCACGAGAAAGCATAAAGAAGAGAGCCAGCAGGTGGCCCTTGGGTAAAAGCCTGGGCTGGGGCCTTAGAGGGGCAGGAGCCTGGTGGCTTGACCTCTCTGAACAGCCCCAGACCCACCTGCAACCAGGGCCTGCCTGTCACAAACAAAGCCCAGGCCATCTGGGGCACATGGCAAATGGGTGCCAGTCAGACCCCTCTAGACAGCTGTCACCCGTGTCCACAGGCTCCCCAGGGCCAGCCGGGGCCCTGCAGGTCCCTGGCCTCCTCTTCCCTTCACTTGGCCCTCAGCGCCCACTGGCATGCGGGCGTCTGGTCCAGGTGTCCAGGCATCAGCGTGGCCAGGCTGGGCTCCCCCACCACGCTCGAGGCACAGCACCCCGGGGGCCTCAGCCCTTGCTTCTCAAGAGCACCCGTCCTGGGCTGCACAAAACACACCCAGGCCGATGGCCGGCAGAACCAACCCCTCCTATCCCAGGCAGCCACAGAAGAAGAGCAAATTCTCAAAGAAGAAGCTACCACATGACAAAGGTCACTGTGCCCAGGAACATCAGGAGGCGGCAATCTGTGGCCCAACCAGGGTGGGGAAGTGGCTAGAGGAGTCCCCGGGGAGGGCAGCGGGCCGGGGAGTGATGGTGCTGTGCAGCTGGGTGCTCAGAATAATGGAGAGGGGAGCACCTCATGCTCTGTAAAGATGCTCCGGCATGGAGCAAATCCAGAGGTTTGCATCCCTCTCCCTAAACAACAGGGTGTCCGACTTCCTGTTCGGTTAATAGCTCCTCCAGACCCAGCCCTTGTGCGAGGGGGAGTTTGTGGTCAGCCAGCACCAGGGATTTACTCAGGGCAACAGGTCACCTGTGGGACGGGGAGCCACGCGATCGACCACATGGTAACAGCAAGGGCACACGTGGGGGCTGATTCCCCCTTGCAGGACCAGCTCGCGGGCACGTGCACCCCCTGGGGGCAGGGCCGTACCTCGCCATAGCTCTGCCTGTCACCCACGGAGTGGCTGACATAGGGAGAGTAGGAGATCATGTCGGGGCGGTCGATGTTGTAGATCGCCTTGTTTTTGGGAAGAGCAGCCAGGTCTCTGTAGTCCAGGATCTCATCGCCGAGCTTTGCCTGCAGATGAAGACCAGAGGGTGCTGGGTCCCCGATAGCAGTGGCTGCTCCAGGACAGGAATGAGGAGCACGGTGGAGTCCCAGGGGCTGCGGCAGCTCGGCCATCAGCACCGGAGGACAGGACCAGGCGGACAGGGCACGGCCAGACCCAGCTGCCAGCCACGAGGGCCACATGGCCTCGAGAGTCTCTTCTGGGCCTCAGCTTGCTTCTCTATTAAGTCCGGAAAATCATCACCTAGCCAGCTCCAGGGCCTGGCGGTATGAGGCTCTCACTGTGACCTAAATGCACACACACAGACACAGGCAGGTGCAAGGCATGCAAATAAACTCGGTGCATGTGTACAGCTCATGCTCAGGTACAAAAATACACATGTATACACACAAACACACACGTATCCACCCACATAACACACAGGTCCACATAAAAACACACACACACAGGCTCACAAATATACATGTGTGCATGAGCAAAATACAAACATGCACCTACATGTATGTACACATTTAAACACATTCATGAATGTTTGCACACATAAAAACACACGTGTGTAGGTCACACAAATGCACAGCTGCATGCACACATACAAAACAGACATGTGCATGTGTGCATCCATGAAAACACTCATGTGGCCACACATACATGCCTGTGTGCATATGTGCAGATATAAACATGCAGATATACACGTGTTCATTTTGCATGTGCAAGCTCAAACACATGTGTGTACACATGTACACTGTGTGTGCATGTATATAAGTGCAGTGTGTGTATACACACTCAGGTGCATGGATACACACATACAAATACACAACTCATGCCTTCACACCACACATACATTTGTGAGGATGAATGTGTCCACTGAGGTCGTGAGAGGCACATACCACACTCACACCCACTCCCACACTATACTGCACTAGCACACATCTGTGCCACCCACACTATATTGCAGAGGACCCCAATACTGATCATGCCCAAGGCAGGCTGTGAAGAGCTAACCCCACGACTGCTTGTTTACAGAAGTGAGTCCGGCTGAAGCCTAGTGCCGAGGTCAGAGTAACTCGCACCCAAATTCCACTCCCACAACTAAACCTTCTGATTGGAAGGACAATGTTCTCATCACAATCATATATTTTGCCTATTCTGTTCCTAATTTGAGAAGGCTTTGTTTTGCCCTGTATGAGCCTTGTTTACATTAATTTCCATAGAAACTGCACGTAGCTCGCCTTTACCCCAATTGATTTCCAGTAAAAGTCAGCGCCTGGGACTATGCAGGGCCTTTGTCAGTTGCACCCTCATTGGTCGTCCTGGCCCCTGCTTTCTCTCCTAGTTCTGTTTCTCAGTGTATTTATTTCTCAGGCCTGCCTCGTGTACTGGGCAAGACACTAAAATCTAACTACAAGGGTCTCCAGTAATTGGCCTCTGTGCCACCCACCCTTTATATCCATCCACTGCCCATACATTTGCTTATGAACCCTTTAAATGCACTCCCTACCTGCACACCCACAAACATGTGCACCCACACACACACACACAGTAGTGCACACGATCACCCCACCCCACTACATTCACACACCCACACACTCAGCACATGTGAGCACGCACAATACACAGCCAGACGCCTGGCCTTAGATGGGGCTCTGGGACGCTAGGAGGGGATAGGACCTTGGATATGTCCTGGGCCCAGCCCACACCTGGCCACCCAGGCCTTCCTTGTGCTTGCTGACCGCTCGTCTGAGCCCCGCATGTGCTCAGGTGGGGCCCACCTGGCTGGAGCCGCTTCCCGGCCTGGGTCCTGGGCGGCCTCCTCCGTTACCGCCTGCAAGCTCACTCACTTGCTCCGCTGCCCGGCCTGGCCCCTGTGCCAGCTTCAGGTGGCTCTGGGCTGGACCCTCCCTCCCCACATGGAGATTCTGCCGCAGCCTCCCTTCCCTAGGCCCTGCTGCCAGCGACGTCCCCCAAGCCCCGGCCGCGCCTCCAGGCAGCCCCTGCTCTTGTCCTGGGTTCCCAGCCTCTTTACCCTAAGGCATCTCTCCCCAGGCCTGCTGCAAACCAGGCTGAGTCCCACTCTGGAGTCCCCAGGGCCAGCAGCTCCAGCCTGCCTCCTCCAGGAAGCCTCCCCAGACTCCGGACTAATGCCAAGACTCTCCTGAGCCAGGCCCTGGGCTGCATGTGTCAGATGCACCCTGAGCACAGCCACATCTCACGCTCATGCAGCTCCTCATGGAGCCTGAAGTCAAATTCTGAGCCAGAGTTGGTGCCATGACGCTCAGGCCTCTGCCAGGAATTCCCAGCCACTCCCTCTGCGCTTGGGAAACCTGAAGCCAGGCCCTGGGGTCTCCCCAGACCCCATCACCCACAGTCTTGGGTGCGTGCTGTTCCTGCTCTGAGATGCACCCTTCCTGGCCTCTTCCTTGCTCATCCTCTCCCCTTCTGGACGAAGCCGAGGCCTCTCCTCCAGGATTCCCTCCTTGGTTTCCTGGCCCCATCTACCTTCCATCTTTCTCTCTGGGGCAAGGGGTTGACCTTTGTCTGCTGCCCACATGTCCTCCCCTGGCTCCCTCTCCCTATCCTCAGCTTGACACAGCCCAGGCGCTGGGGTCACTGAGACAAATGGAGTTGAAACCAGTGCAGCAGTGTTAGAAGGTGGGTGCTCTCTGGGATTCTCCTGTAGAAAGGAGGAACCATGCTGAGGCTTTGCACCTGCAGTGGATGTCAGATGCCAATGCTGAAGACCACACCCCACACTCTCACCTGCCTCTGGCTTTGCTAGCCTGGCCCCTCAGGTCAGCGAGACCTGGCCTTGGGGATCCCCTCAGGTCCCCCATATGGCCCTCCCTGATCCTGGCAGGAATCTGAGCAGGCAGCCTGAGTAATGAGCCCAGCTGCTGCCCATCTCAGTCCAAAGACAGGTTGCTAAGGTGGCCTTCCGGATCCACTTCTTCCCGAGCTGGGTCCTTGGGTGGTTGCCATGACAACACGCTATGCTCACTAATTGGAGGAAGGCTGCTGCAGTGTGTGTGTGTGTGTGTGTGTGTGTGTGTGTGTGTGTGTGGACAAGCGCTTCTTCTCCTTGCTTTCTTCTCTCTTGTACTGCATGCAACAAGATGAATGATCACCTGACCACACCTGACTCCCAGCTGCACATGCACGGCCAGGATTAACAGTGGAGGGCTGCTGCTTTTGCACTGTTGTACCCGCAGCTTTATTGCCATGGCAGAGAAAGGTTATGAAGCACTGTGTGCAGCAGGACCTAGAGAAAGGAGAGCCCCAGGCACACTCCACCAGCCGGCGGTGGTCTCCGCAGGGGGAGATGAACTGTGTCCGCCTTTCCTCTGTGCTGACCACTGTGTTTATTAAGAATAAACATGCACTGCTTTTGTAATTTAAAAAAAGGCAGCAAAATAGATTATTTTGCTGGGCCTGGTGGTGCATACCTATAATCCCAGCAGTCGGGGAGCCTGATGGAAGAGGATTTCAAGTTTGAGCCCAGCCTGAGCAACTTAATGGCTCAGCAAGACACTGTTACAAAATTAAACATTAAAAAAATGGACTGGGGATGTTGTTCAGGGCAAAGGCCCTGGGTTCAACCCCCAGTACTGTAAAAACATTGTTAAGCATCTCTCCTGTGTGCATGTCTGACCCCCGACATTAGGACCGATAGTGGCTCCTCCAGGGTCTGTGGGGAAGATGCAGCAGCCCCAGGCCTTCTGCTCCCTTCCCGTGCACATGGGCATGGGGGCGACCGACCTGCCTGGGGTCGGCAGGGGAGCTGTGTTTGATGAGAAGCAGCAGACAGATGCCGGGCGGTGCAATGCTGGGCAGCACCTGAGGTGGATGTGGAGGGTACCCAGCACCGAGTCCAGGCAGTAGGACCACAGCAGACAGCCGCAGCGAGGAGATGACAGGCAGACCAGAGCCTGCGCCGGGTGTCTGTGGACCTCGCCCTCCTGGTGAAGGACCCGGGTGATGTGCACAGCCCGAGGGCACGGATGCCACCCTGAGCAGGCACAGCTGGGCGCCCCACTCGGGGAGGACATGTGGATGCTGGGAGGCGCCCCCCTCCCCCCACGCCATGTGATGCAGGCCGCTCTGCTCCTCTCTGGATGCCCACCCCCGATGGCTCTCAGGTCGGGGAGGTGTCGTGGTGCTCTCCAGATAGAGGACTCCAGGTCCACGGGACTTGTGCCAGGGCTCTGTTTAAAACTGGAGTCAGCCGTGTGCCTCTCTGCTGGGTGGGAGCCCACACGCTGAGACCCAGCATGAGCAGCTCCCCCAGCCTCAGGGACGTCCTCACTGCTAACACCACACTGTGCTGTGGTCGCTGTCCACACCCCGCACAGCAGGGTCCCAGGGCCCGCGTCGGGGCGCTGGGCTGCACTAGCAACTGCTTCTCCGCTGCAGGGACTGTGGGGTCTCTGTAGGGAGCCCAGGCTTGGGGTCCCAGAGAGCGGCTCTGCAGCCCCACTCTGTCGCCCCCAGCTTGGGCCTGTGAGCAGGGTTGGGACTGTCACCGCCCAAGGTGTGGCTGTGTGGTCTAGAGTACCAGGCCCTCTGTGAAGGCCAGTTTGCTTTTCTATCATTTACTTGCTTATTGTCTCAGGGCCTTTGCACTCCTCCATGTCCTCAGATCTTTACAAGAAATTTAAAAACAATTTTATGACAGGGTCTAGCTAAGTTGCTTATGCTGGGCTTGAACTTGCAGTCCTCCTGCCTCAGCCTTCCAGGGTGCTGAGACTACAGGCATGCGCCACTACATCTGGCCTTGTCTGCGGCATACAGAGACTGCACGCTGTGCCCCTCCCAGAGCCAACCTGAGCCAGGCCCTGTGCCCAGCGCTCTGCATATGCCCCTGTGTGAGCATCGCCAGCTGCAACTATCATTATTCATGAAGACAACAACAGGCTCCGGGCTGCATCGCGTCCCCTGAATCCTGAGGGTGACATCCTAGCCCCCAGGATCAGGAAGTGCCTGGGCTCAGAATCGGGCCTTTAAAGAGGTCGTGAAGGCAAAAGGAGGGCTGCCTGCCTGGTGGGGCCCTGGTGTCACTAGAAGAGGAAGCCAGGACACGGCACACGGGGTGGCCGCGCCCGGACACGGAGAAGGCCCCGTCTGCCAGCCGGGGTGCAGCCTCAGGAGGAGGTATCCCTGCGGCTCCTTGGTCCTGGACTTCAGGCCTCAGGATGTGAGACAGCCGTCCCTCCCGTTCCAGCCCCCAGGACGGGTGTCCCCGGAGTAAGAGCGATGACAGCGGCACTCCACTCCGGTCCACCCTCTGAGCCGGGGCTGTGCCCAAGCCCCACACATAGCCTCCCAGCCCTGGGCAGTGGGTGCAGGGCTCTCCAGGGATCGGAGAGGGAAACATTGCGCCCAGGGTCACAGCCACTCCACTCGACGGCAGGCGGAGCCTCAGAGCGGGCAGCCCCAAAGGGCCTCGGCGCCACCAGTCTTGGCTGTGACCCAGGGAACAGAGGGTCTCGCCTGTCCCACGGAGGGTCTGGAGCAATCCCTGGCCCAGCCTTGTGCAACATAAGGGCTATCACCGTGCCCAGACTCAGTGGGTCCAAGCCCACTGCAGTGTAGAAACCAGGGGCCCTGGGCTGGGTGCAGGGTGACTCGTCACATGTCACCTGGCTTTCCACCAGGTCCCGGGCTCCTTGCCCGATGCACCAACCCTCACCCTATGTCTTGGGGCTCCCTAGAAGATGAATTTCGGCTCTGAACACCAGTGCTGTTGGCCAATGACAGCAACCACCATCTCCAATCCTACTGTGCACAGGTAACCGCTGGTAACCATTTGTTACAATGTTTCTGATCGTATTTATACTTGGATGCACACACACGCGCAGACACACACACACACACACACACACACACACACTCTTCTATGAAAATGCACCCCCTGAGACACAGCATCTTTACATGCTGCCTCCCCAGAGCACACGGGACGCTTTCCACATCCGCATACGCAGGACAGCAGCACCCCATCCACTGCACACCTCGTACCCAGAGAGGTCAAGACACAATGCTGTCCTTGCACCAATACCAACACTGTGTCACCAGGCAGCTGAGCATGCCGGTTCCCGCTTCCGGCTTTGAGTCAGCCCCAAGGCAGAGAGGAGGAGGCCAGCCACACCCCTGCCCCACAGCCACTCGGAGGTCCCCATGGCACCTGCAAGGCCCCCTGCCCCCGCCCACGGGCACAGACGCCCCACTTACGTAGATCACGCGGCTTGGAGACCCGTATGTGCTGGAGGCGGGGACAGAAACAATGCTTTCGGAGGACGTCCTGGTCTCCTGGAACAGAGAGGGGGCTGAGGAGGGGCCCCTGCCTCCCCCAGCAGCCACTGCAGCCTCAGAACAATGCACAGCATGGACCCCAGGAAGCCAAGGCCCACGAGGCAGCAGGCCACGCAGCCACGGGCAAAGCGGCCGTGCCTGGCACCGCTGGGAAGAGCCCTGCGGATCCTGAGCTGCCCCGTGGAGCCCTCTGTGTCTCCGGACGAGGCGAGCCACGGCGCCACATGGCTGCGCTGCTTCAACTCCGCAAGGCAGGTGCCCCTCGCCCACGTCTGCTGCGCAGAGACTCCCCCTGGATCTGGGGTGACTCGTGACGCTGTCCCGCAGGCCCAGCCCTCCGGAAGCCTCCCGGTTATGAGTGCCGGGACGCTGCAGGTGGGCACTGCGCACTGTGGCCACCCTGCCTTCGGTCTCCATCCCCGGCCCCTGTGTGGCTGCCCTGCCCTGGGGCCCCCTCCCGACCCCTCCTCGTGCCTGCTGCACCCCTGGGCTGGCGGTTTCCTGCCCTCCCTCTCCTCCCCTTCCACGTGTGCCCCCTCCTGTGCCCCCACTGTGTCACCCGGGGCCCAGCCCCCTTCTCCCCCTCTAGGAGGGTCTCAGGGTCTCCCCAAGAACTCACACCTCTCCTGGCCCGCAGCCCCAGATCCTCTGCCGGATGCCCTCCGACTCGTGGCCCCTGCCCAGAGTTCCACCCAGTCAGCCTCATTCCCCACCCCCGAAGAGGGGCTGCCAGGGGCCGAGCTAGACACCCCCAAACTCCTGACTCCAGGACCTCAGGGCGCGCCTGTGTGCAGAAAGGTGACAGAGGTCACCAGGGTCATGAGGTCACCAGGATGGGCCTCCGGCGATCTGACTGGAGTCCTCATAGGAGGAGGACAGCCTGCGGTGTGTGGCGGTGCACGCCTGTGATCCCAGCACCGGGGAGCCTGAGGCAGGAGGACTGCTGAGAGTTCAAGGCCAGCCTGAACTACATAGTGACACCCTGTCCCCACCCCAAAAAAGCAAAAGATGCGAATGGGACACAGACACGCACAGGGACGACCACATGAGGACACTGGGAGAAGACACTGTCGGCAGCCCGGGAGAGAGACAGGTCCTGGGCCTGCAGCCCGAGACAGGAGTCTCCATGGCTGAAGGCCCTGCTGCAGGCCTTGTCGCAGTCCCCGCAGCTCCTCCTATGCTCAGCCAGCACCAGCGTGACAGGCGGACACGGGGACCAGTCGTGCCACACAGCTGGCAGCGGGGGCACCAACCTGTAAGGCACAGGGCACGGCACCCGTGCAGGCCTGGCTGCACACGGAGCTCTGCGTCTAGGGAGAGAGGAGGGACAGCTGACGCCGAGAGGCTCTCTCCTTTCCCACATACCCGCTTGGCCCCTGCGGGAGCCCTGCCTCCTCCTCAGTCCTCTCAGGCCCAGCACTGCACACGGGGCAGGTGTCCACTTGAGGACCGACCACCCCCTCGGACTGCGGGCCTCTGAGCAGGGCTGGGCAGCACACAGGGCTCGGCTGCTGCCCTCCTGCCTTCTCAGTCTGTCCCCAGTGCTGCCTGCATGGAAGGTGGCCCCAGTCTGCACCCATGAAAACACCCTGGGCCTCAACTGCCTTCTCTAGGACATGGGCGGCCTCTTCTTCCACCCAGGGGATGGCTCCAGGGAAGAAACATGGGGTCCCTGGGACCCAGCAAGGGTGTGCAGAAGGGGGGCCCTGCCCAGTGAGCTTCAGAAGAAACTGGACATCTTGTGTCCTCCCAGGGCTGGGACCAGGCAGCCTCATCCAGACCCCAGGGGCAGCTCAGTCACCCTCTGGCCATGGCCGGGCCCGTTCCATCCCACCCGGCACCTGTTCCTCACACAGCAGCAGGCCGGGCCAGGACTCAGCAGCCAGTTCGCTCCCACTGGGCCAGGCCCCCCTCCAGCACCTGTCCCACCTCCGTCTCCCACATGAGACACAGGGGCCCTGGAGGCCAGGGACACCACAGGTTTTGTCCCCACTGGCTGGGCTCCGGGCACTGATTCCATACACGCACAGTGGGCACGCGGCAGCCATGTGTCGAGTGATCACAGGACCACGAGCCCAGAGCACCGAGGCCGGCACAAAGGGACACTGTCACACCAGCTGCTGGGCCTGATGACAGGTGAGTCATTCCCATCTTATGCCTGGTGCCACCTCTGCCTTGGTGACAGCGTCAAGGGCCTGGTGACACGGACGCCACCTCTGCCTGGCTGTGCAGGTCACTGTCTAGGAGCAGGGTGGCCCCGACCCCACCAGCTAGGCAGAGAGAGCACCAGGCTGGAGCTGGGCCAGCTGAGGCACCATGCTGAGGCGCAACTGCACAACCCCTGCTTCAGAGCTGCAGACGCAGCGGCCAGGAAGCTGCCTGCCTGCTCAGGTCCAGACCAGGCCCTCTGCGTCCTGGGCATCCAGCCTTCGAGGTCCCCTGGGTGGCCAACAACCCTGCAGCTGTTCAGCTGCTTCCTGCAGCTCGGCCTCACTCTGCAAGGAACAGGCTGCCCTGTCCCTGAGGGAGCTGGCTGTGACCGTAGGCTGCCTTCCCAGTTCTGGCTGCGTGGAGGACACAGGGTGTTCCCATGCACACGCATGTGTGTGTCTGGGTCCCTTCCGTGGGTCTCTGCCGGCCTTTGGGATAACACAAAGGAGCCCAGAGACTGGGGGTCAGGTTGGTGTCATCCCGGGTGGCAGACTTGGCTCTCGGAGGGGCCTGGGGTGGTGCAGCTGCAGTTTGCAGGATGCATCATGGACCAGAGCAGCTGGTGAGAAGCAGCTCCTGCCATCCTGGCCACCAGAGCGATAGCAGGACTTGACGAGGACAGTGGTGACCGCAGCAGGGAGAGAGGTGCAGAATCTGGGGCCCAGCACAACTGGGGGGTCTCAGGAGCAGGGGGCTGCCAGGCCCCCCACGGCGTGGCCTCCCTGCCTCCCTGCAGCCCAGCCTGTGCCCCCCAAACTGGCTCCCGTCCTCACCCTCAGGCTGCTCTGCATCCTCACTGCCGGCAGAGGCAGCCATCCTGGGTGCACCACAAGAGCCCTGCCCTCTGCCTGCCCTGGGCCTCTGGGGCCGGGGCTCCCAGTCTGGATGGGGCCCGGCAGGGCAGGTGCCTATGAGGGGAAGCCCCACCACGCCCCAGTCCTCAGAAACCTCGTGGTCCCTGGGAGCTGCAGTCCACCCTCCAGCCTGGTTCCTTCCTGCAGCACTGCTCACAGAGGCCACACTGGAACAGGGATTCTGGGATCAAGAGCGTGGCCCCACAGGCCCCAGGGGGAGTGAGCAGGAAGGTGCTGACCGCAGGGCCTTTGCTTGAGCTGCTGGCCCCACCCCTCACAGCGACTCCCTTCAGCCCTCTCTCCTGGGGGGCAGCCCACATGCCATCAGGGGTGGCCCTCCCAGGTTGCCCCTCCCTGGGATGCAGCCACCATGCCAGCTGCTGCGGCACTGCTGGCTGTGGAGGGCTTGACCTGGTCTCTTCCCTGGGTGCCAGCTCCGGAGCACAGTCCTCTCGGCCTTGGTCACAGCCACCTCCCATGCCCACTCGAGCAGTAAGAATCTGGCTGCACCCCGGGAGAGGGCTGGCCTTTGCCCTCGATTTCTGGGGGCTCGGGGAGGCCATCTCTTTCTGACCTGACAGGAGTATTTGGTTTTGGGGAGTTTTTTGGGCAGTATTGGGGATTGAACCCAGGGCCTTTACACTGAGCTACATTCCCAGCGCTTCTTATTTTTTTTTAATTTTAAGACGGGGTCTCACTAAGTTGCTAAGTTGCCAGGCTGGGCTCTAACTTTCGATCCTCCTGCCTCAGCCTCCAGGCTGCTGGGATGACAGGCCTACGCCACCGACCATCTTTGTTTAGGGCGGGGTTGGCCACATCAGACCAACCGAGTGACTTGGAGGGGAGCTGCTGGTCCCATGGGACCAGCGGATTGGCAGAATCGCTTGACAATCACACCCACATGAGGGAACCCCAGTAAAGCCCAGGCAAGGTCAGGGGGATAGCGGGGTGAGGCATGCTGAGCCCACAGAGAGATGACGAGGAAGCTCTGCTTCTGAGGCCCACACCTCCTCTCCCTGGGCTGTGCTCATGCCCTGCCCTTCCAGGCCTGGCACCCTGGGACCGAAGCCTGAGGGACGGCCAAGGAGCCTGGCCGAGAAGAACACGCGGGGGCCGGATGCCACCAACCTTGTTTCTGTCCTCAGTCCTGGCTGCCTGTCGACACGCTGGGTGCCAGATGGAAGAACCTGCGGGCGGATGCCAAGAGGTGCAGGTCAGGGCGAGCCTGTGGCACGGGCCCTGAGCCCTCTCCCAGCCTGGGGTGGCCTGGGGCACACAGACCGATGGGGCAGATGCACCCTGTGTGCCAACCGCTCCCCAGGAGGAAGCAGGGGTCCTGAGTGCAGGGCATCATGCCCACCTTGGTGACCCCAGCCAACTGCCAGCTGGGCCCAACCATGGGGACAGCGAGCCCAGCCGGGTGGCAGCCAGCCTCAGGCAGGAGGACTCATGTGAGTCAGAGCTTCCCGGCTGGAGGGGAACAGCTCCAGTGGGCACAAGTGTACTCTGCACCAGCTCCAGTGCCCAGCCTGCCCTGTCATCAACCCACTTGGTCTCGGAGGCTGCCCTGCCTCGGCTTCCTGGCCTGTCAGCCCCACCACTACGTCAACAGACATGACCATCCATGCACCAGGCCGCCAGGCGCCCTGGGCCCCATGCCCAGCCCTCTGCTCCTCTTTGATTCGGCCTCAAGCTGCCCAGGCACTGGCTGTCCCCATAGAACTGAGGGCTGGACGTCATCCTGCCCTGGTTAAGTGGAGGATGTGTGGTGGACAGGGGCTTGGTGATGGCTATAGAGATGCTGACCACAGTCAGAACTTCCTGCCCCAGGGCTGACACGGTTGGCTCCCCCTGTACCCCAAAGCCGGGTCCTCCCTCTCCTCCCTGACCACTGTGGCTGTCCTCTCCCCGACCCCTGGGCCCCTGAAGGAGGGGCTGCATCCCACTCACGGATGCCCCCACACCTGCCACCCGGGCTGGCACACGAGGGGCTGAGGAGGGCACTCCACGCCCTTCCTGAGTCACAGCCCCCAGGAACATGGGCCCACCTGGGAGGGAGCTTATGACCCCCCCCAAAATCTCTGCATCCACGGGGCTCTGAGACCATGCCGTGCGTGCGTGTGCAACACTGCTTTAATTTTTATGCTTATAGATGCAGTAGGCATTCCCCATTAAAAAGTGTAGAAACCTAGAAAGCAAACTAAAGAACCACGCGCACGCTAAGGACACAGGCTCCTCGGGACACGCGTCTCACACCTGCAACTGCGCTGTGTCCTGAGCCCTGCTCATGAGGTACCGGGATGTAACTGGGAGCTGTGGCACCCGCCTCGGCACACGCAGCCCCTACCCGCTCCTGCTCCTGCTCCTTCAGCCTGGGCTGTGCGTGAGCCTCGATGCCTCAGCATGTGGTGTCCTGCTGCGGTTTCCCCACTGCCACCTCTCAGCAGCGGGGAAGGGGCCGTTCCTTGGCTTCTCACCAGGCCCTCAGCACTGAGCTACATCCCCGCCCTTTTATATTTTATTTTGAGACAGGGTCTCACTCCATGGCCCAGGCTGCTGGGCTCCTTGCTGTGTTTGGCCCGGCCTCCCCGCCCGTGTTTACCACAAGTCTCCAGCGGGAGGGGGTGGTTTTGGGGCAGCCTCGAGGCCATGGTGGTCCCGGGGACTCAGGCTTGCCAGGGCTTTGACTGGCAGGCCCCACACCAGGGAGACTGAGCAGAGGTCTCGGGGTGACTGGCTCTACAGAGGGCCCTGGACAAAGGCACCTGCCACACAGAGCAGAATCCAAATGCCACCCGCCTGCTCCAACCATGCAGTGTGGGGCGGCCAGCAGGTCCCACCCGGGGCGGGGCTAGCCTCAGACGGAGTGCGAAGAGCCTCTCTGCTCGGGGATGAGGTCGCCTGGGCATGAGCTCGTGTCCCCGAGTACTGCCATGCTCGTCACCCCCAGCCACTGCCTGAGGGCACCATTCACGGGCGGCCCTCCCTGCCGGGCAGCCCCGCACAGCTGGGCGCACACACACGGACGCCTTTCAGTCCTCCGCAGACTCGGGACAACAGTGACACTGGGCTGCCGACAAGGCCGCCTCATCTGGCATCACCCCCAGGTTCCCCCGGAAAGGGAGGCCTGCTGGACACCGGCCGGGACGGCTCCGTGGGAGGTCACTCAGCGGCCTGTCTGCAGGACAACGCAGGGTCGCAGCTGCTGCCACTCTGCCTCTGTCGCGCTGCCTCTGAGTCCCCCGGAGGAAGAAAGTCACCGCACAGGAGTGTGGCCGATGAAGCCTCAGTTTCACCGCCCTCACCTCGGCCCCGACTGCCCTCTGCTGTGCTGTGTTGGGCTCACAGGGACCCTCAGCGGGCAGTGAGGGCAGAGGCCCCGGGCCCTGTGAGTCCCACTCGCCCACCCCAGGCTCCCGGGTGAAGCAAGCAGCTAGCCCTCCATGCCCAGCATGCAGTGTGGACAAAGCCGCGCGGGTGGATTTTTACCTTGAAGATACATCTCCTCGCCTTCCGCAAACATCTGGCCACACCTGACGCATAGCGCACAGGAAGGGTGGTAGTGCTTGTCCCCGGCCTGGAAGAGAGCAGACAAGGTGTCCGTCCTGGCACTCCCGGCGGGCACCAGGACAGAGCCCCTTCACGGAGCCGAGCCCCTGTGTTCCCCGCTACAGAAAGAGCCCTGGGGGAGGCAGGTGACACCGAGCTGCTGTCAGTCGCCCGACCTCCACATCAGGGAGGCCAGGTCGCCGCCAGTGCCCAGGTGAGGCTGTGGGTGGTTACATGGGGTGCCAGCTTCTGAGCCCTGCTTCTCCAGGGTGGGAGGAAGCAGCCGGGCAAGCGGGGAAGCAGGAAGCCAGCCTCCTTTCCCAGGCGGAGGGGAAATGAACGGTCTTTCCATACCTCTGTAGTCCTCGAGTTGCTCAATTAGCACTTCTGATTTTCACAGTGCTTAAGCTCCATTAAATTAGATTATAAATATCAAAACAGAAATAACCAGACAAATTATGTGAGCTGGCCTGGCTTGTTTTTGCAAGGTGCAGAAAGAATCTAATTGCCCCAGAAAATCGTGCTCGGCGTTACTTGGCAGTGAGCATTTCCTGCCCTGGGGAAGGGGGCGCAAGCCTGTTGCTGGATGTGGGGGTAAGTTCCACGTTTCATTCTTTCCTAAAATGGGAAGCGGTGTGCACTCGTCACCTGGATTTGAGTTTGCAGTCGTCACTTTCCCGATACGTAAGTGGCAGGGAGATGCCATCACAAGCGCCTCCTCTTTCCCTCGCCCCGGTGCCAGCCCATGAGGAAGGGAGGGGAATCCACAGTGCGCTCCTCCCCTGCAGGGGCCTGCGTGGCCTCTGCCTGTCCTTTAGGCCCATCACAGCACCCGCTCGCGCCCCCGTCCTGCTGGCCCTCTGCCCCAGCCTCGGCTCCCACCACCCTGGGTCCCATTTGGTCCTTCCAGCCCTGTCTCCGGTGTCCGTGAGCATCAGGGCTTCTCTCCTCAGTGAGCCGCCCCCGGGCAGGTGGCAGCTGGGCCACATCAGGGCCGCCGATGAAGGGCTCTGTCGGGCAGCAGTCACGTACAGCTCCTGCCCTGAATGAGCAGCACAGGACCACCGCCATGGTTACAGGGCCACTACACGGGCGGTCAGTGCGACACTCGTGCGTGAGGAATGAATGAAAGTCCAACAGCTCTGTTTTAGGAGTGAAAGTCACCTGACGGCAATGCCGCACCGCAGCTGCCAACTGAGGGCCTGGGGCATCTTTGACGAGCCCGAGTAGAACAGGAGTTCCCAAGCTTGCACCCTGTGACCTGTGCCCACGGCACCTCATGCAAGCGTCCCCACCCCACGGCTTCTAAGAGCAGAAGCTCCATGACAGCCACACGAGGAGAGAGCGCATCTTCTGGGGCAAATCGGCCCTGACTCCACACGGCATGTCTACACAGCGTGTCCACCCGTGAGTCAGGAGAGGGAAGGCTGCTGGGGACAGCTTCTAAGATGGGGGGGCCCTGGAGTACAGGGTGTGAGTCCCGCCCAGCCCGGCAGGGCTCAGCCTGCTCTCCACGACCCACCCCTCGTGCCCTGAACAAGCAACACTGAGGACACAGGAAGACCTAACGTGGAGCAGAAGCCGAAAGGGGGCGCTCACAGCCCAGGCCTGGGCTCTTGGCCTGGACTTGGGTGCCGGTCACACGTGCAAGTGCTGTGTGCCAGCTGCACACTTGTGATCGTGCAGGGCTCCATGCACCCCACACAGCAGACCCCAGGCCTGGGTGCCAGAGCCAAGATGTAAAGGGTTAGAAGGGAGCACAGGAACAAACTCATGACCTCAGATGCGACAATGGATTCGGAGATTTGACACCAAAAGCCTCGAGTGGCAAAAGAAAAGAGTAGCTACCGGACTTCAGTGAAATGAAAAGCTTTTGGTCACTAGAGGACATGAACAGAACAGTGAAAGGACAAAGTAAAGAATGGGAAAGAGCCGGGCATGGCAGCATACGCCTGTGATCCCAGCACTCAGGAGGCTGAGGCAGGAGGATCCCTGCAAGTTTGAGGCTGGCCTGGGCTCTGTAGTGAGTTCAAGGCCAGCTTGGGCTATGTAGTGAAATCCTGTTCTCAAAAAAACCCAAAAAGAGAGAGAGGAGAGAGAGAGAATATTTTCAAATCCTCCACTCGATGAGGTGTGGCACCCGGCATATATAAACAACTCTGACCACTCAACAAGAGACAAACGGCCCCGTTTAGAAACAGGCAAAGGACTGGTGGACGCGAGACAGCATCAGATCACTGTTGCCAGCAAAGGCAAGTCGAACCCCAGCACGCAGCTCCGCACACCCACCCGGTCAGCCCCTCCCTGCAGCAGCCCTGGAGTTGGGCGGCCCAGCTCCCCGGGCAGATGGTCAGGCACTCATCCACGAGAGGCTCGGGATGGCTTGGGTTTTCAGAGCACAAGAATGTCTGGGAGACCGTGGGGTGCACATCTCAGAAAAACACCTGTGCCTCTGGCGAGTGGCTGTCAGCTTTAAGAAGACAGAGCAAGGCGGGGAGCGGGGCTGGGGTGACCACCACAGCTCACACCCGCTCCAGGCCGGGCTCGGGACACCCCTATGTGGGCACAGAGCCAGCCGGGAGGACAGAGGTGGGGCTCAGGGCAGACGCCGGACCCCTCCTGGGGCCAGCCCACGCCCTCCCTTGGTCCACACCCTCTGTGCCCCAGACCTGGCCATGCCTCCTGCTACCCACGTCCCCCAGGTTCCCTGCCGGAGTGCCAGGAACCCTCGGCTGGGTCCAAGCTGGGGCTGCTCCTCCGAATTTCCAGAACTGCACCTGGGTCTTAAAAGACCTGATCAGCAAGACGCAAGGCAAAACAGGGTCAGTGAGGAGAGAATGGAGACAGGGCAGGGCCACAGTCGGGGAGTGTCGGGAGAGACCAGCAGCCAGGGCTCCCCGCCCAACCCCTGCAGGGCCCCTCCCCGCCCGCCTCTCCCCTCCCCAGCGCCTCCTGCAGCTCCTCCACAGGGCCAGGTGGCCCCTGCCTGTGTCCCGCACCACCTCGCTGCATCGGAGGTGTCACGGAGTGGAGTGCGCCGGTGCAGAGCTGAGGAGCCCGGCCATGCGCGGCTTGGGGACCTGCCAGGGAGACCATGGGTCCGGGCCACACCCCCACCTGAGGCCCTGAGGCCGGGCCAGGGAACATGGCCGCGCAGCTGGTCGCTCGGGGAGAGGGCCGGGCCCCATGGGGTCTTGATGTTAAGGGAGCAACGACAGGCTAACGGCGTGTCTGTGTCCATGTGTCTGTGTGTGGCCCTGTGGCATGCAGCTGCGTGTCTGTCTGGTAATGTCTAGTGCACGGGATTTAAATCACTTCTGAGTGCTCAGTCGTCTGGACAGTGGCTTTTTTACTAAAGATTCTGTTTGCTGTGTGATAAACAAATATTCCTTCTGGCCGTGTGTTCTGAACACTTGTATTTTAAAAGTGGGGCCTTGTGTGCGTCCAGACACAGCTTACTTCCTGTTGACCATGAAGCTGCTGAGCTCATGGGATAGAATGGGAGGCGCCCCGAGAAGACAAGAGGAGGAGGCCATGGCCCAGGAGGCTGCATCTGAACCGGAGAAATGCTGCAGGGACCTGTGGCCCCTCTCTTGCCAGGTCCCCAGGAGACCACCCATCCTCAAGGTGTGCGTGTCACCGTCATTCCCGTGACCCAGCCCCAGACTAGGGCAGGACACACCATGAGTCCAGCAAGGGTCTAGGAGCTGAGTGGGGAGAGGAAGAAGGGAAGGACAGAGAGGGAGAGAAGCGAGGAAGGAAGGAACTGGTGGTCCCAGAGGGATGCTAGGCTTCCTGTTACCATGGAGATAGCCGTAGATGCCCGCGCTAGCCGCAGGCAGGGCCTAGAGCCTGGGCTGAGAAGAAGCCCCCACCCCTGCAGGGGGCAGGACGTGGGCACACAGCCAGGGGCTCCCCCATCAACGCCTCCCCCTCCCCTGGCTCAGGCTGCAGCTCCCAGCACCCAGCCTGGCCGTGGCCTCTGCCAGGCAACACGAGCTCCTCACCGCAGCACCTCTGCCCCCATGTGCCCAGCTGCCCACCTCAGCTGATGGGGGCAAAGCCAGGCCCCACAGGCAGAGCAGGCTCCCCGAGACAGACCCCAGGGGTGGCAGGAGGCAGCAGGCTACACGCTCAGGAGGAAGGGAGCAGAGTGGGGAAGGAAGAGCCCTGTCACCACGAATGCACATTTCACGGGCAGGCGCTGCTGGCACTCAGTGTTTAAGATGGCACTGTGCCCGCCGCACACAGGCCCGGCACAGGCAAGGGCTGGGCTGCTGGCCGGGCCCGCGTGCTCCCGCTCCGCCTCTGCAGGAGGACAGCAGTGCACTGGCAGCAGTTGGAGCAGGAGTGACAAGGGCCTGGGGGGCCTCATGCCCGCTGCACCAGCCCCCACAAGCCCACCCTGCTGCCCCCAGCACACTTCCACGAGCCCCTCTCCCTGCTTCCTACCTGCACAGGGTCCTGGGACCCTGCCTTCCTCCAGGGCAGCAGCCTGTGGTGGACACGCCCGCCCGCCTCAGCCTCAGCTAGTGCCCTCGCTCCTTCCCTGTGTCCAGAGCTGGGATCTGTCACCGGCTCCGGCTGCTCCCTGAGAACCCACGGCTGGGCGCCGGCAGCCTGGCGGAGCGTCAGGCAGTGCCAAGGCAGCAGCAGCTCCCTGCCACGGAGCCAGGCTCCTCTCCGCCTGCAGCCCCCGCCTCGCAGCACCAGGAGGCTGCTGAGCCGTGCAGAGCCTCAGACACTGCTGCACACTCGCCTGCCTCCCAGCAGAGCACAAAACAAGAGCAGGCTCTTCCCCGCCAGGCCCGGCAACAGGCAGGGCCCTTCCAGGGACCAGAGTGTGCCTGGCGGCGGTCACAGGGACAGCGTCCCCACTCCCGTATCTGGCCCGGAGTTACGATTGGGGACACATACTCTGCACACACGGGCTTGCACTGCCCTCGCAGCCACCAAGGAGGGACAGCAGAGGCGGATGGAGAAGCCGCTCCCATGCGCTCCCCACACAACGCTGAGCTGGGACACACAGAGGATGCCCCGTGGCTCCCTCCCCCAGCCAGGCCTCTCCACTGCTAACCGGCCACATCTGCAGCCTCTAGCCCAGCTGCACCCGCGCTTGCCATGAAGGGTCACAGCGTGGACGCAGGACCCAGGCCTGCACCCTGCAGGCAGAGGCGAGCGGAGGGAGGGGCAGCCTGCGCTCAAGTCCAGCTCTGCCTCCTGTTCGCCAGCCGCCGGTTGCCCACCCTGTGGGATTTCCCACACCTGGCTGAGCTTTGGCGCCACCTGCACTTCGGAGGATGACGGACTGGGGGCAGCTGTGGGCTGGGCAGAGGTACCAGGTGCCAGGGACATGAGAAGAGGGCAGGCGGGGGAGGCAGGGGACCCCTGGGTAGGGACTGGTCCGTAAGGGAAGCTGAAGATGTTGGGGCTTCCAGGACACGAGGTTCCAGGGGTCCTCAAGAGGCAGCATGGCAGCTGTGGGAGGAGAGGGAGTCCACAGCAGCCGCAGGAATCCACGCCAGGCTGAGCCTGCGGGTGCTCCGAACGGGGACTTCGTAAGCCACCAGGAGTAGGAGGGTGGACAGGTAAGGCTGCAGGGAGGGGAGGGACGGACCATGCTTGGGAAGGGCTGTGGGGAGGGGGCAGGAGGGGTCCTTGGTCCCACCCAAAGGACGTGCACACGGGTATCAGATACAGTATGTATGATCATTGCCAGGAAGACACTTCGAAGGTATAAGGCAGAGAAAACATCACACTCTGACCACACTGCCCACTCGCCCCAAACGACGGGAAGACTCTACTACATGAGGAGGCCGAATCCATGAAAGATAACTAAAATGTAAGAACTATAACTGTCTAAAAGTGACAGAAAAAAAAGATTCAGCCTCCCTAGGGATGGGAGGAAGGCAAATCTGTGTTCACCTCTCCACTGGCAAGGTGTGGATGGGAAACGCTACTTGTGTAAGTTAGAAAGCAGTTTACGGTAACTGCTGTGGTTGGGAACCACAGAGAACTGTAAAAATCCTCAGTTTTAAGCCGGCTCTTCCATTTCTGTAAATCTATCTGAAGAAAAATTAGAAATGCAAAGAAAGCATTACTTTTTAAAAAGGGGTTCACTGCAGCCACTTATTGCAGCAGAAAGCTGGAAATCGCCTCCACGTCCACCGCAGACAGTCGGCAGTGAGTTCTGGTGTCGTGGAGTGAAGCGCAGTGTGACGCTGACCCCGGCCGGTCCAGGAAGGACCCCAACACCCAACCCGCTGAGAGGAAGGAGCAGACCCCAGAGACGCACGGGAGGGATCCCATCCATGGCAAATGTCTGGAACAGGGGACTCCACGGAGACAGAAAGTTGATCCGTGGTGGCAGGGGCTCGGGGTTCCAGGAAATGGTGGCTAAGGGCTGTGCAGCTCTCACTACAGCGTGGAAGTGTCTAGGAAGTGGCAGTGGTGATGCCTGGGAGGACCCTGAACGCCACTGAATGGTACACGTGAAAGGGGATGAAGCAGATCTGAATCTCAGCAAAGCTGTTTCAGAGAGTCCAACTACGGAAATAAAGCGCTCACAAGGACTTTATAATGACCCGAAACCCACGGCCTTGGCGAATGGAGTCGGAAACACTCATGACATAATACTGCATAAATGGCTTGACATCCATGATGGTCTCATGGAGAGGAAGCTGGGGGCTACCCGGCCCCAACCTTAAGCCACCTGCACTTTCGGTGAGTTTTCTCTTCAGGCGGCTCTTTACCTATGGACCTTTCTCCCATCAGAGTGACTCATTAAACTCACCCTCAGAGTGTCTCGCCTACTGTGTGGGTGGCCTCAGGACCCTGGGGTCCCTCATTCCCAGATCTCCATCCCCAGCAGCAGCCCCTGCGGCCACAGCAAGGCCTCCCACTCCCCTGGGCAGTACTCAGCCTCCTGTCCCCTGAGATCCACGGGAGGGGCTGGCCAGGAGCTGGGGGCCACGAGGAAGCATGCAGCCTGTGTGTAACTGTCATCCAGGAGCACATCCGTGTTCCTGCCACCAGAGCCGGAAGCCAGCACTGCCAGTCCCTGAGCTTCCCACCCAAAACCACTGCTCAGCCATCTGCCAGGTGCCCACTCTGCCCCCAGTGCGGACACCGTGGTCCCCAGCCAGCTCCTGCCTCCCTTCAACCCCAGGTGCCCGAGTCCCAAGCTAGGCCGGAAAGGCAGGACCAGCCCAGCTCCAGCACCCTGCCCCCACGCAACGACTGCTGTTGGGAGCAATGCTACATAATTCTAGGGAAAAATCACTTGGTTAGCCTAGTTCTCCTGCCTACAGCCCAGCTGCAGAATAACTCCAGTTTGGCCTCCGGTCACAACTGAGACTTCAGTGATCCAGTGATGCTGGGATTCTCCAGGACAAGAAACATCCTGGGAGAACAAACATCTGCTCAGTTCCTCCTTGTTCTTGGACTGTTAACATCTTGTTTGCCCAAGATGTACGAACTCTCTGCAAGCCTTCCGTTACACCTTCTTTATCCCAATGTGAACTACTGAACTCTCTGCAAGTCATTTGTTACATCTGTTTCACCTGATGTACTGAGTACTGAATAAAAGGTGTGGTAAGCTGGGGGCTTTTGTCTTTGCTGCCCAGAGCAGCACTGATCAGACCCAAAGCTCAGCTTCTTCTCAGTCTCATTTGTCTACCTTTCCTGTAATTCGCCGTGTGCTGCCGTGGCTCACAGGAGACCAGGACTCACTGCAGAGGTTCTGGTAACGTCCCCTTCCCCTGTTCCCTACAGGCTGACTCCAACTCTGAGCCCATCCTGGGCCCGGAAGGCTGGGGGGGCCTGCCCTGCTCTACAGAGCTGGGAGGGAGGCAGCCAGGCTCGGCAGCACCCCTCGAACGACCCAGAGGAGGGCCTGGCCTCAGTGAACCTGGGGACAACGAGGACCTCAGCACCAGAGGCCCTGGCCAGGCGGGCGCTGCTCACCTCCAGCACGTGCCCTGTGATGAACTTCTCGCAGCTGCTGCAGCGGATGCCGAATTTGGCATGGTAGTCGGCCTCACAGTAGGGCAGCCCATCCCTGCAAAAAGACGGGGGGTCAGGATGGGCGGGGTCACAGGAGCGCTGCCGTCCATGTGGGGGCCCGAGGTGGTCACAGTGCCGGCCCCGAGGGAACCGTCACCAGACTGTCCCACTGCACAGATGGGGAAACTGAGGCACACAGTGGCCCGGGGCTAGGGCCTGGCTCCAGGGGCTGAGGGGAGGGAAGGAAAGCCACATCTGCCACAAGAAAGAGGTTTCCAGACGTCACCGTCCTTCCCACCTCCTTCCACCCAGAGTTCAGCACCGGCCTAAAGAGATGCAAACAGGCTTGGCCTCCAACACGGCGTCCCGCTGTGTGGCCTGGGCACGTCGCTTACCCTCTCTGGTGCAGCTCCAGTGACATGGGGAAACAGCAGCGAGGACCACACGAGAGAAGCTGCGGCGCAAGCACTTGAACAATGGTGGCCGAGGCCACTGCCACTGCTAACAGGACTGGGCCTCAACCACGAGTGGGTGTGCAGGTGAGCAGAGCAGGGGCACCTGCCGCACCAACACACCTGTCCCCTAAAGGCTGCCGGGCTGCCGGGGTCGGGCTGCTCGGGGCACGGCCCTCTGCCCTGCACTGCGCTCCGGCCCTCTGAGGCTGCCCCTCCACGCCTGGAATCCCAGGGAGCAGGGGGAGCCCAGGGAGGGGACACAGCCCTTCCTCCGAGAGGGGACCCGTCTTCCGTGCTGCCCACGGCGGCCCAGCTGCACCCACGATGGGTGTACCTGCCGCACACCCAGAGGCGCAAAGCTCGCGTCTCCATGGCAACACCAATGCCCTCCCCCTCATTCTGGGCCGCTCAGGAGGCTGCTAAGTAACACGGTGTGGGTGAGCCACGGGCACCCGTGGGGGCAGCAGTGACTGGGGGCTGGGTGCTGTCACAGTCTTCGCGGCGCTCAGCATCTGCCTGACCCGTCCCAGCCTGCCCTGCGGTGACCCAGGCAGCACTGGGGCTTCCTGTGCAGTCCCCACCCTGGGCGTCAGCGTGCCTTGGTATGGGAACTTTGCCTTAATATGTTTCACCCCGAGACCCTGTGGGGCCGTGTGCCACAGAGAGCAGCACAGACAGGCGTCCGGAGTCCTCCACCCGGGCCCCAGTGTCTGGAGTCAGACTGCAGGGTCAACCAGGAGGCGAACGTGGACACATCCTGGGCCCGGATCTCCCGAAGGTGGCCCGGTGTCCATGTGTGCACGTGCGTGCTTCATTCCATGCTGTGTGGCAGGCACACACTTTACTCCACGAACCTGTGTCTCGCTGGTTCCCCTCAGGTGCCCAGAAGTGCGCAGCTCCAGTGTGAGCCTAGCAGGCACCAAGTGGCCCTAAGAGGGCTACACTTTCAGCCTGCACCACGCGGGGCTGCCTGCCTCAGTTTCCTCCCCCAGCACTAAGACGCACCCTGCTGGCCACGAGCAGCCCCAGCCAGGGCCCCTGTCAGCTCTGAGGGCTCCCTAGGCCAGGGATGACCAGCGACAGCCTCCTTTCCGGGACTGCAGCCGGCCACTGCTGACGCCACTTTGGGCTCTGCAGGATGCTGGCCCCCGGAACATCTAGGAGGGCAACACCCGGGACAGACTCCGAGCGGGGAGCCCTGGCTGCCCTGGCCCTGGCCAACGGAAAAGGACCAGAAGCCTCTGCAAGCTGCAGAGGAAGAGCGAGCTGGTGGAGGGAAGGTGCAGGCTGGCCAGGGCTGGGACGCGAGGGGCAGGCCCGTACTGCCCTGTGGAACCTGGGCACGAGCATGACGCGTCCCCCATGCGGCCGCACTCACTTGCTGATGTACTCGGCATTCAGCTGCTTCCCGCAGGTCTCACACTTGAAGCAGCCCACGTGCCAGTGCTTGTCCAGCGCCACCAGTGCCTGTCCGTTCTTGATTTCCAAGCCGCAGCCCCCGCAGCCTGCAGGGAGGAGCAGAACGCAGAGCCCTTACACAGGGCCTGGGTGGCGCAGCAGGGCAAAGTACCCCGGGGCATGCGGGCCCTTGGCACACCCTGCCCTGCTGTTCTCAGACTCGCAGACGCACCAGTGCGGCCCCGGGAATGGGCATAGAGGGGCTGTCACAGGGCAGCGGGGGAGCACACGGAAAGCTCATGGCAACACTGGTCCCCGTGTGTGCGGAGCACTGACTGCGTGTGCCTGGGCTGGGCTGGGCGAGGAGGGTAAGTCTGAGCCTTCTGAGGATGAGGCCCCTCCTAGACGGAGGTGCAGCTTGTGCAGGGCTCAGGCCTGGCCTGGACTCCTAACCTTCCCGAGGTGGGCAGCACGCAGCATCCTGGGCCTGGCCTGGGGCCCTGAGTGCCTCACCAGCCCTCTTCCCTCTCTCAGCAGCACCTGCCCTGCCAGGCCTGTGTGTCCTGCTCTGCTGCGCCAGCCACTCACGGACCCTCCCCGAGAACCTGTCACTCACTGTCACCCAGTGAGGGCTGAGTGGGAGCCTGGCAAGGGGAGCGCTGGCAGAGATCTGGGTGTGGGCTGCATGGGCGTGGGGCTGTGCACATGCACCTGTGTGCACCACGTGTGCATTGTGTCTGTGCGGTGTCACGTGTGTGCGGGGAGTGTGTGATGTGTACAGCCGTCCCTCGGGACCCACAGGACCCCTCGAGGGTCCCTGAATCCTGAGTCCTCCTGTGAAAGGTGCTTTTTGCACGTACCCTTTGCACATCCTCCTGGGTCTGCAATCACCTCTAGGTTCCCTTCCACACCCAACACAGGCGGAGGCTGTGTAAGTGCCACACTGTGCAGGGTACAATGACGAGGAAAGTCTTATGTGTGCAGCACACACACGGTGAGTTTATCTGAATCGGCAGATGCGACGCCTGCAGACAGAGGCTGGCTGTGGACATGTCTGCGTGTGCACCTGTGTCTGTGTGTGCACGTGTGTGTCTATGTGTGCATGTGTGTGTGCACCTGAGTGTGTGTGCACGTGTGTCTGCAGGTGTGCCTTCTGACCATGTCTGGTGTGCGCATGAGTGGACGAGTGCTTGGCTGTGCAAGGCGATCACGTCAGCGCTCGGGCCCCACTCACGAGGGCAGGCACAGCACTGGCCTGGCTGGCAGTAGGCGCTCGGAAGATGCTGCATAATACATGGCTTTATCATGCTCCTTGGCAGAGAGCTGAGCCATCAATTCTAAGAACAAAAAAATAGCAGCCGCAGAACTGCTGGTCAGGCCGAGTCTCTAAATTATCACAGTGGGAAGAACAGGCTTGAACTCTGGGGTCCTGGCCCTGAGGCACAGGAGGCTCGGGGCACTGGGTACCAGGACAGCTGGGGCCAGGAGACACCTGGGGGAGGAACGCGTAGGGATAAAGGGCAACGTCATCGGAGTCCTGGGTCACCTTCCCACAGAACAGAGGGGCCCTGGCCCTGCAGCACAGGGCGGCGGGCACATTGGGAGCTCTCAGCTGGGGCCATTTGCTCCCAGGGAGCACTGACAATACTGGAGATCCCTGTGACTGCCCCCGGGGGCGCAGCAGCGGTGCCCGGGACAGACACTCCAACCCGAGAACTCTGTCCCCGAGTATCCACAGCATAGGGACAGTCCACTTCCATGTGGATGGCAAACTGGGCCCCCAGGGGCGTAGGGACTGGAACACAGGTGGTCAGAGTGGAGCCAGGCAGGGTCCGGGAGCTGCTCAAACCCCAGCCCTGCTCCACCACCGGTGTGACCAGGGCCATCTCCCCTCTCTGTGCCCTCCAGAAAGGGTATACGTGAGGGACGGTCACAGGGCCCTGTGCCTGCTGTGAAGGGGCACTTGACGAGCGACTCCATGCACATGTGTGGCAGCAGCTACTTAGTGGCCCAGCTGCACTCTACCTGCCAGCTGCTGACGGCTCTACCACCTAGCCTGCATGAGTTCCGTGCCTGCTCTGCACACCCCGCTCACCCCCAAGGGGCTAGGTCTCATTCTCTCTGCATGAGCCTGACAGTGTGGCATGGACCCCACTCTGGGTCCCCTTCCCTGTGACATGGGGTGGGAGCATCACTAACAAGTGGGAGACCGGGTCACAACGTCATGGAAACTGCAGTCCCCGCTCCAGACACCCGAGGAGCTCAGCGTGGCCTTGAGGGGCTCTACCAGCCACAGACAAGGCCGTGTGTGACCAGCACTGGGCACCACACATCCAGAGCCAGCTGTCCACCTGCTGCGCACCTCTCATGACCCTTGCAGAACTGCCCAGCCTGCTTCCCAGGAGCCCCCTCTTCCAGGAGACACGGCCATGGGTTCAAGCCTGGACCTGCAGGCCATTCTCCTACAGACGGCAGAGCCGGCAGCCTCAGTGGGGTCAGACCCACCTCCCACCATGGGGTAGGCGCAGCCGGACCTCAGTTCTCAGCTGAACCTGATGTCCACCTTTGGGAATGGGACCGACTGGGTTCGGAAGTGGGGCTGTGACTGAGAGGGTGGGGACTTGGCCCAGCACCCGCATGCAGCTATGGAAAGGGTGAAACCATCCAGGCTGGGTCCTGGGCTGCCTCCTGAGACCCCACAGCTGGGCAGGCACATGGCCCAGGCTTGGGGTCCCTCAGCCGTCCAGCTGGACTGTGCCATGCCAAGGACAGAACAGTGCCCCAGGGCACCTCCAGGAGAGCAGGAGACCCCACCATCACCCTGGGCATGACTGTCCAGGAAGCCTCAACACAAGCTGCCACCTGGTGCCACTGCACACTTGCTGCCCTAGGGCACGGCTTTGCTTCACTCACAGAGTAAAATGATGATGACAAGACCCCCAAGGCCAGCATAGAGCCCAGGGCTGAGGTGGGACCCTCGCAGAGACTCCACAGAGCTGGGGAGAAAGAGGGCATGGGGCACAGAGGGAGATGATGGAGCTTGGGGCTGCCTGAGAGTCACAGAAACCCTCCCCTGTCCTTTGTCCCTAGGCACTGGCCCTGCCCCAGGGACACCACTATGGCTGTGTACACAGGCTGGCTCTGAAATGCCCCTTCCTTGGTGGGCACCGGGCAGCAGCAGGTCCTGGTGTGGAGGTGCCCTCCCAGCCCCCACATTCTATCTCTACCCCAGGCTGGGGACGCCACCCAGCTACTCCTGCTGGCCATCACTCCGCCCATCTGTAACCATGGCATCCCCAGCATTTGCTCTTGCAGTGACAACCTCCCACTTCCCAAGCCCGTATTGAGCACCTGCTGCATATGGTAGCTCCTGGGGGTGGAGCCAAGAACCCAAGAGCCCTGCCTGCCCATAGGAGTCCAGAGTCCAGGGATCTTTGGGGGATCCCCAAAGCACTTCTGATGGCCTGGACGAGGGGAAGGTGTGTGGATGCAGCAAGAAAAGACCAGAGGAGGCCAGGAAAGCTCCTAGTAGGAGGGTGGGTGGGAAAGCAGATGTGGCATGGGGTGGGGGCACGGTCTAGGCAAAGGTCTGGCAGCGTGGCAGCCTTGGGGATGTCTGCTCCTGTCCTTCCCCATGTGTATCCGCCATAGCTGTGGCTGTGCCTGTCCTGGTCTCATGTTATCAAACCCGTCCCTGTTCCTGGTGCCCTCCCCATCCAGATGCCCATGCCTACTTACTCCGAAGGCCCTGGGGTACGTGGGCACCACTGCCCGCTGGCGTAGGCAGGGAGCACTTCTGGCACACGCATTCCTTCCCATTGAAGGTCACTCGGTCCCCGGGTGGGAAGGGCAGCCTGCAACAAGAGAGCTGGTCACAGGCAGCTAGCTCCCTGCCATGGCCTTCCTCTCGTGCCACCCCAAGCATGATGCCACAGCCAACCCCCAGGGTCTGACCAGGCCTGCCACACCCTGGTGCGGCACCTCAGGGGGCACAGATGCCCGAGACAGGATCATGTGCTTAAGTCTGTGATGAGGCTGGGCAGAGGGCCCCCTGTATGGCCACTCTTTAAAGCTGTTCTATTGTTTCCCAGCATCCATAGCTTCTGACGGAGTCTGCAGTCACCCTTGTTCCCTGTAAACTTGAGTGGGCTCTTTTCTCGGACCTTAAAATTTCTTTTCATCCCTGGTTATCAGCAGTTTGACTAAGATGAATTTGGTAGGTTTCTGGTGAGTTTATTCTATTTAAGGTTCACTGATATTCCTCGATTTATGGGCATATAGTTGTCATCAAATTTGGAAAATTTCCACCCTTTACTTCTGCAAGCATGTTTTTGGTCTGTCCTATGCACAGAGATAAGCAGCCAGGCTGACAGAGATGGCACCATCTGCATCCACAGATGGGTGGAGCTCTTTTAATGTGTATCAGTCTCTTTCCCTCTGCTCCAGTTTGAATGGTTTCTTTTGCTGTGTTTTCAGCTTTACTAATCTTTTCTTCTGTAGTTTGTAATCTATTGCTAACTCTGTTTGCACTTCAGAAAATTCACATTTCATTCCAGGAAACGTATTTTTCATGTCTAGATTTCCCACTGCTACCCCCTATAACTCCTCTGCAATGTCCAGGGGCTGACACATATTTACAGTAGCTGCTTCAAGGCCAGTGACTGCTCATTTCACCACCACTGTCCTTTCCCAATGTACTGACATTGGCTGACTTTTTCTCTGGCTTGGGATCCCTTTTTCTAGTTTCTTAGGACAAGCAATTTTTTAGTATATGCTGTGCATTTTATATTGTTGAGTGCTGGGTTTTCTTACCTTCTCTTATAGAGTGTTGGCCTCTGCTCTGGTAGCAGTTGGCCCCTGGCAGATCAGTGTGATCTTTGGTGGATGGGTTGTTTTTGGTAGATGGGTTTATGGAAGCTTTCACTCCAGGGCTATTTCAGTCCTATTAATAAGAAGGAACAGCCCTTAGGGTGTCCTTACTGCACGTCCTGGGTGTTCAATCAAGACTTAGCCTCTGCTTACAGCACAGATGTTTCTCTGGGAACTGTGTGTCCTCAGCACCTGGGCACTCTTTGCCCCACCTGTGATACTCCCTCGGTGCACACTCAACTTTGTATCTGGTCCAGACTCAAAGGCACCCTCTGCTCACCTCTGGAGGTCTCACTCTGTTGCTCTTTCCCCTCTGCCTCACATGCCCAGCTGCTGTCGGCTTCCCACCCTGGTCCTGATTCAAGGTGCCATACTTGGCTCAGTCTCCAAGGTACCAGCATTCAGGAGCCTCTGTGCGGGAAGCAGGTGACTCCAGAGCACAGTCCTCCTCTCAGGCTGGCTGCAAACAGCTGGTTCACACGCTATGTCCAGCTTTCTTGTTTGTGCCCTAGTCCAGTTTGATCCTGGTCATTCCAATACAGCCAGCACCATCCGTTATTATTTTTAAATACCAGATCATGCAGAGGTCATCTTTCAGACCAACTGTGATTACGTCAACCTCATCGCTAAGCTATGTACACAGAAATCAAACATCAGACCATCCCTGGGGGACTCTGAGCCGAGCCAGGAAGTAATGACACACATGGATTCTTTCATCAGACATGTCCTCCGCCATGGTTTCCTCCCCTCAGCATCTGACAGAGGCTCTTTCTGTCTCACTGCACACAGTAACCACAGACAGCCACTCTGGAGCATACAGAGGACATCCTCTCCAGCGGGGCGTGGTGGGGCAGGGAGCAAAGAGCAGAAAATAAACTGTGCTTCATTTTCCCACTTTGTTTTCTGGAAATGGAACATTGGCACCCAGAAGACTTGCTGGAGGCTGCGGTGGGATGAGGGCCAGCGAGGCTGCCCACCAGCTCCCTGCTCAGCGGTGATGGGGGGAGAAGCAAGGGGTGTGCCTCACCAAAGGGTCAGGGACCCAGGCTCTCCATGTAATCACACCTGCTCTGTGCTACGCCTGCTCACAGGCCCAGAGAGGACCTGGTATATCCAGGCACAGAATGGATGGATGAATGAGTGAATGGATGAATGAAAGGAATAGGCAGTGATACTCCTCTGGGCACAGCTGAGGGGCTTGGACATTCTCCTGGAGCCATGGCAGGAAGGTCAGGTGGGCAGAGGGGGGTGCAGAGTTCGGAGGCCAAGGAACAGCCACCAGGGAAGGCCAGGGCAGCAGCTGGTAGATGTGGGGAAGGGGCCGAGTGCAGTGTTACCCGACGTTTGGGGACGCAGAGTAGAGTGGGGCAGGCAGATGGGTGTGACAGGGCAGAGGAGCAGCCGTGTGGGTACGGAGGGGCTGTGCATGGACGTGGCGGGTGAGCAGCAGCAGGAGGGAAGGGACGAGCCAAGGGTGAGACCCAGAAGGGTCAGGAGGGTTGCCGTGACAGCGGGGGCAGCTCCAGGGCTGCTGGGGGCTGTGAGGGGAGGGTGGGACACACTCACCGGCAGACAGCGCACACAAAGCAGGCGGGGTGGTAGGTCTTGCCCAGCGCTGACACCACCTCGCCCTCTATGAGCTGCTCACAGCTGCAGCAGCGCGTGCCATAGAGCCGCTGGTAGTCCTGGGTGCAGATGTACTCGCCCTGCCGCACGAAGAAGCCGCCCTCCGCCAGGTCACGGCCGCAGGCTGCAGCAAGGACGCGAGTTAGAAGGGTGTGGTGGCAGCTCTGTGCCCCCAGGGCCCCCACTGATGCAGCCATCTGGGCACAGACCCAGTGGATGCAGTGCCTGGGACCAGGCTGGGGGACAGACACCAGCCCCAGCCCCTGCCTGGGTGGAGTGGAGTTTTCTCCAGAAATCTTGGAAAGGGACAGTGACTCAGGGTGGGGGCAAGACTATCCTGAGGGCCGGCCCAGCCTCTCCATTCACCTATAGGCCCCCAAGGACTCCTGCCCCTCCATGCCAGGCAGGTCATTTCTAGGACCGGCCATGGAGGCCAGACTAATACCTGAGCACCTACTACACGCCAGCTGTGTCCCTGGCTGGAGATCAGGGAGGACAAGCGGTCCTGTGGCCGCTCCCAGCCCTCCCCACTCCTCTGGGTCCCTGTGTCCCATGGTGGCAAGGCCTGGGCTTCTGCTTCCTTCCCCCAGCACCAGCTCCAGGAAGCGGCAGCTGCAGGGCCTGGTGGAGGGAGCTGGCAGGTGGGAACAAGCCTGCTGTCACCACAGCTCAGAGCTCGAGTGAGCGCCTCGGGAAACGTGTGTGTCCCTGCCACGTAACTGCTCGGGCCCAAGGCACTTGGGAGCCGTGCAGGGCTTCAGAGGGTACAGACTGCAGTGCACCCTGGCTGCCCTGCTGCAGTCACGTAGGAGGCCCCACCTGTCCCCAGCCTGGCCATCCTGGTCCTCACGGCAGGCACAGCTCAGCGACCCCCAAACCTGAGCTTTGAAAACCCACATGACCCTCACGTCTTAAGGGAACAATGCTGCCATCTGTGGCGTGCGTGACACGGGCATCTCTGAACGGAACAGTGAGCTCACCTTCCACACACATCCCGCGGCACTTCAGCGCCAAAGCGAGACCACTGACAAAACCCGTGGCCGCACTCTTGGGACAAGCGGGTGTGGCAGCTGGAGCCCTGGCTCGGAAGCCCAGCTGGCCCCTTGCAGGGAGCTGTGGCCAGTGGTGACAGGTGAGAGCCCCGCACACCCACCCCAGAGTCTCACGGGGAGAGCGGGCTGCCAGCCGGGCTGCAGGGACGGGAGCCTCGACGGCTGGGCCGTGCCTGTCACAGAGATGCAGGGGCTCTGGCTGCTCTGCAGGGGGCCGATGTGCAGTGCCCCCACCCCCTCCGAGCCATGGGGGCCCACAAGGTGGGTGCTGCGAGGTGACCCCACTGCCATCCAGCCCCGCCCCACGAGCCCCTCCTGGGACCTCAGCCAGGGTCAGAACCTGGCCGCCCCGAGGACACCAAGGTCACTTGGAGGCAGCAACACCCCAGACGTGTGCCTGCCAAAACTAAAAGTCCAAATTCACTGTAATTCTAGAAATCCTCACCAAGACTTGCTATCGTGTTCCTTTCTCAATAGAGCACAGCGGGAGCTGAGACAGGGTGGGCCGGTGTAGGGCTCCCGCTGTGGTCAGTGCGGCAAGCAGCCAGGAGGGGCGGACTGTGGGAAGGGGCGCCTACTCCACGGAAGGCGCACCCGCCCCTCCCCTTCCACCCGGGAATCCCCTCAGAGACGCGGTTCAGCCACGTTCCCCACGCTCCCTGTGCCGGCTGCCGTCGGGAAGCCCGGGTCCCTCACCTTCTCTAGCCCCTTCCCTGCCCACCGCTGACCCTGGGGTAGTTCCTTAACCTCCCCAAACCCAAGTCCTCCTCGGCAGGCTTAAAAATACCAGCTCCGCATGATCGATTATCCCAGGAAATCGATGAGATGAGGTGCAAAGCTGACCAGCCGGTGTCTGGCGGAAGTGACCCATGCACCCCAGGGGTGAGCGGTTTAGTTCCCTGCAGGCCAGGACTGTGAAGGACCCTGAAGGGATTTGGGCCAATACTGAAGGGCGTGCTGAGGAATTTATATGCTGAAGAAACAGCCAGGCGTGGTGGCACAGGCACTCCCAGCTCTCTGGGAGGCTGAGGCAGAAGGATTGGTAGTTCAAGCCCAGCCTGGGCAAGACTTAGCAAGACCCTGTCTCAAAATTTAAAAAATTTCAAAAGGGCTGGAGGAGGAGCTCAGTGTGAAGGCCCTGGGTTCCATTCCTAGTATGGCAAAAGAAAAGAAGGGAGGGAGGGAGGGAGGGAGGAAGGAAGGAAGGAAGGAAGGAAGGAAGGAAGGAAGGAAAAGAGGGAGGGAGAGAAAGAAAGATTACATGGTATTTAGAAGAGAATGAGTCAGGATGTAAAATGACATGTAGTGTGGCTTCCTATGTCAGAAGAGACGCATCGGAGGGGAATCTTTGGGAGGACACGCACCAAAGTGCCGCATGAACGAACTTCGGGCTGGGGGGCAGGGGAGGGGACAGAGCCAAACAGCCTGTTCCGGGGAGCCCTCCCCGCCGTGACAACAATCACAGCTCTGCCCTCTGCCCCGCCACCCCTGCACGCCCACCATTCCCCCTCCGGCCCCCACAGCCCCGAAGGCCAGGGTGCAGGCCGCCTGAGCCAGCCGGGCCCCTCCCGGCGAGCCCAGGGCCTGTCTACAGTCCCAGGCTGATGTTTCCCGAGGGGACCCGTGGTTACCAAGCCACACAGGGCTCTCGGCTGCTCCCAACACACACCCTCCCTCTCCGCCAGGTTCCTGGCTCTCTCCAAATCCCTGGACTCAGTTCCACTGCTCAGGCATCAGAAAACACCTGCCTTCGGGAGGTCGGACCTGCCAGCCTCCCAGCGGAGCACTGCGGACAGCACAGCCCGGAGCAGTTGTTTGGGGAACAACCTCGGGGAGCAGGTGTTTGGGGACGGCCTTCATTATTAAAAGGCCCTGTGATGTGCTGCACGAGGTGTGAACCAAAATTACGGTGAATATTTAATTTTCTAAAATTATTAAGTAAAGACACCTTGCCACGAACCCCCACCAAAGCCTCCCCTCGATTTGAACCCACTCATCCCATCCCTCTCGCCACTTTCTGCAGCAGCTCTGGAGTCCGCCTTCGTGACAGTCGGAGTTGGGCTGCTGCTTCGATGTCCTGAATGGATCCACGGCGTCTCGTGTTGTGGTCATTTGGACTCTGGGGAAGAGCTGCCTTCCCGGGCGTCGCAGGGTGGCGGCCCCGACTGCGTTTGCTCGTCAGGGCTGGTAAGGACACTCAGAAGGACACGTCCAGAGCACAGCACTGCAGAAGGCAGCAGGAACCACAGAAGGACTGGTTCGAAGTGAAGGGCCACAGCAGCTTCGTAGTAAATTTAAAGATCCAAACGCTGCCTATTCTGGTCGCCCCCTGAATGTCTGCCGTGTATCCTGCGTCCGTCTACCCAGTTCACAGCGAAGTGGAGCCAACTGGCGGGCGACATCTGCCCAGAACCAGGCCTCCTTCCTCCCTGTCAGGCTGCCCCCATCCCCAGCCTGGGCCCTGCACCTGCGTCAGACCCTGACATCCACAGGACCTCTGCACTCTCCCCGTGTCAAAGCCAAGGTCCTGGCAAGGAGGCACAGGGGCCATTACCCACTCACTCCACTCCAGCCACACAGGCCACCCTGCCCCAGGGCCTTTGCATTGGCTGATCCTCTGCGTGGAATCCCACCTGGGCTTCCCTCAGAAGTCACCTCCTTCCCGAAGCCTACAATGACCCCTACACACATACTCCCAACCCCGCCTTATCTCGCTCCTCTCCTTCCCCTCCCCAGCCCATTGCCCTGCCAGGCATATGGGAAGTCTTTGGGGAAACTTCAGGGAAAGGACAGGGCACTCCGCCTGTACAGATCTCCTCCCAGTCCCTTCCTAGGTTGCACACCACCCCATGAGTGTGATGTTGGAGCTACAGCAGCCATCTTGAGACCATGAGGAGCGGCACTGTTCATAGGCACAGAGTTAGATGTGGAGGGGAGGATGGCGGCTCCCTTCCTTCAGGAGCCCGGGCGGTGGGCGAGTCACACGGTGCCATGCGGGGCCCAGCCCCGCTCCCAGGCCCACACCGCTCCCCTGCCCAGTGTGGCAGGGCCAAGTCATCCATGCACCTTCCTGGGCTGTCCCGTCACTGACCCTGGAACTCGGGCTGCTTTGGGGAGGGCAGTGGGGTGCCAGGGGCAGAGGTGGCCATGGGTGCACAGGGGACCCCTGGATCCTGGTGTTCTGGGGCGTCAGCTGGCCCTGCGGTGCCCCGAGTCTTTCACAGATGGCGCTGGGTTTAGCCTTGGCCTGCGGCAGCGGGGCCCTCCTTTGGGGTCCCAGCCTCGGGAGAGACAGCTGGCTGGGGGTCAACCAAGAGTCACCTGCCCTAAATCACCTGCCCCTAAGTTAGATGCCCCTGCTGGCCCCATGGACACAGCACTAGGGGACTTCCAAGGTGTCCCTTCTGCGGCAGAAGAGCCTGGACCAGGGCTTTCAGCCTTGGGTCCCCGCAGCAGGACCTGGGGGTCCCAGCCTGTGCCCTGAGGTGATCCCCCAGCTCCCTGCTTGCTGCATGTTTCCCTGATGTCTGCTCACAAAAAAGCAAACCTTCCTTACACCTGCGCTTTGCCACCGTGAAGGTAGCAAGTCTCCCGGTGGCAGGAGGGTGTCACAGCCACCCCAGGGCCAGTGTGCAGTGACAACTGTCCGCCCTGTCCCCGCAAGCCTTCCTGTGTGGCTAGGAGGCTAAATGCAGGTGCACTGAGTCCCGTCTGCCCACGGAGTGAAGCAGGGAAGCAGGAGGCTCCTAGCACGGCCGTCTCGGATGCAGGGACACCATGAGCTTCTTGTCTAGGTTTCCCCCCTCTTTTCAGTACTGTTTTGATCTAGTATATTAAATGTTATTTTTTACAGTGGGAGGAGAGGGACTGTCCTTGGGAATGGATGGTGACAATCTCTGTGCTGCTGTGTGGGGCACTGTGTGACCCGCAAGGGCCAGAGGTCCAGCACTGTGGCGTTCATGGGGCCGACCGTGACCCCTGACCCGAAGGAGGGCACCCCGGGGACCTGGACCCCTCATCCACCCTCTCCACCCAGCAGCCTCCTGTCCACACCGGTGACAGGAGGACACTGAGAAGCTCAGCTTTCCAGGAGCCCAGACCGACCTCGAGTTCCCGTGGACCTGGGGCCCCACTGCAGGGGCTGGGACCAGACTCGCTCACCTTTGCAGATGAAGCACTTGATGTGGAAGTACTTGTTCTGCACCCGCAGCACCTCCCCCTTGCACACATTTCCACACGTGTTGCACAGGATGGCCGTGCTGGGCGGCTTCTCCAGGGGCCTGTGAGCAGCCTGGGGCTCCGACACTGTGGAGAAAGAGGTCGAGTTAGAGCGGGTGGTGTCCCCGGAGTGGTGAGCAAGCCAGCAAGGGCGCCAGGATGAGGGGCCTGAGCAGGGAGCCCGGGTCCCCCACCGGCACTGGCCCCACAGGGCACCAGGGGCTGCACTTGCCTATGGCCCTAGGGCTCAGACCACCTGGTCAACTGCAAAGTGGGGTTCCTGGCTAGAGCAGCCCCCACAATGAGCAGCCCTGTCCTTTATCATCAAGCAACCTGCAGTGACAAGGCTGTCATGGCCCCTGGGAAGGGTGACCCAGCCCCTGCTGCTTCCACCTGGCACGACCGTGACCCCTCCCCACAGTACTGCTGTTGGCCTACTCGGCCACAGCACAGCTCTGGAAACCATGGGTGGACGGGTCAGGATGGACAGCCACAGGCCTGACCTCGGGCCCTGGGGCCAGGCGGGACCCACACTCCCCATCTCATCTCGAGACCACTGCACAGGCAGTGGCCAGGATGCTGGAGCCCTTTCCTGCCCTGTAGCGGGGACAGCAGTGAGCCACAGCAAGAGGCAGGTGGCGGAGCCCGAGTCCAGGAGCTCTGAGCCTTGAACTGTGAGGAGGGCTGTGGGGCAGGCGACTGCCACCCGGCTGCAGCTGGGCCCTCAGCTGGGCAGAGTGATGTCCCCTGCACACTTCTCTGTGGCCAGGGCACTGCAGACATGGATTCACACATCCTCATGCCATCCTACGGCATCCAGGGAGCCCAGGCCGGGCTGTCAGTGCCCGCTCTGCCCCCACCATGCCCAGAGTGCCGGCCCCAGGTCGCCCTGGAGATGTGGGCACAGGAAGGCAGAGTCCCCGAAAGGAACTCCACTCAGCCTTGGACACTGGGGCCCAGGCCCACCCGGCCTCGCTCTCCAGAGCTCAGGAGACAACATGGCAGGCGGGGTGGCCGAGTCCAGCCAGGGCCCTCTCTGCAGCTCAGGAGGGCAGACCTGTCCCTGGAGTGTGAGCACGGCATCCCCAGAGCCGTGGAGACACACGCACCTGCTCGTACAGAGGTGGGAGGTGCCTGGAGGCGTCCGGGGGCAGAGCCCAGGTGCCAGGGCAGGCCAGGCACTGAGGGGGCTGGGAGCGAGGCAGCTCCGGGAGGTGACGTCCTGGTGAGTCACCGGCCCCTCCACCCCGACCAGACAGGGTTCCTCAACACTGTCCTGTTCTCTACAGGGACACAAAGGACAATGGGCTGTGTCCCTCCCAACCACACAGGCACATTTCATAGGCTGGACCCTGGCTGCACCCCAGAATGAAATGGCAGCTTCAGGCTCTCGGGGCAGCACCGGCTACGGGTCAGGCTGGCCCAGGACATGGCCTCAGCCCCACCTCTCGCGTGTGGCCTCCAAGACCCCAGCCCCTGCCTGTCCTTCTCTGTGCTGTCCATCCCTCACCTGCTCTCCGCCCTCGGCCCTGGGGCCCCTAGGACCGTGGCAAAAGGTCCGCCTAGCAACCAGCCAGCAAATAGCAGCGGGTCTGGGTGGTGGTGCTGCCCTCTGGTGGCGCGAAGCAGACACTGCACACGAGGCGGCTCCAAGGCACCCGTGCGGAGCCCATGCCTGCAGCCGGGCTGGTCGGGGAGCAGGGAGCCGGGGGCTGGCCGGGCTGGGTCCCGGGGATCCAGGGGCTGGGTGTGGCCCCCTAAACCACGCTCTGGAGCCAGGGCAGGGCATGAGCTGGAACAGGCCCGTCTTGAAGGTCACAGACTGCCCGGCGGCCAGCGGGGCCACTGCTGAGGCCAGCCTTTCAGCAGCCGCCAGGGCACGGGGCTCTCGGGGCCAGCTGCTGCCTCCTGTCCCCACCCTGCAGCCAGGCAGGGATGGCACAGCCCCGTCCCTGGCCAGGCCTGGGCTCTGTCCCCAGCAGGGAGACACAGAACCACGTCGCCACTTCCTCCTCCAAGACCCTGAGTTTCTCCAGTGCCGCCCCGTATCAGCCAGCTGGGAGCCCCCTGGAAACACTGCGGTCCCGGGGGGGGGCTCCGACAGAGGCTGAGTGCCCCAGAGCCAGGCAGAGGCCACGCAGGCTGCGCCAGCCACACACTCCCATGCCGGCCTCTGTGCCAATGCAGGGCACCCAGGGACTGAGTTTTCAACGTCCTTGGTGACTTGACTATGCCAGATGGCACAGCAGAGGCTGCGGCCGGGACCCCAGGGCCAGCCTGGCCAGCGTCCCCACACTTCATCCCTCAGCACTCCAGGGCCCAGACCCCGGGCCGTTCCGACAGGGGAGCTGGCTTTGGGGACCAAGGCCTGGGACATCTGGGGGGGCTGGAGGAGCACACCCCAGCTGGAGTCCCGCCTCCCAGAGGTTTCCAACCCACCCGGAACAGTGAGATGCAGGCTACAGGGACCACATGAGACACCGCTGCGCCTGCCAGACCAGCAAGCTGGATGCGGACACCCGAGGCTCATCAGCCATGTCCACCTTGACTGGCCAGCAGGTCGCCTCACGCTGTGCCTCTGCATACTGCCCTCAGCAGCCTAAAGGTCCCTCTCCCAGCAGCTCCAGGCCAGAGGTCCCAGCTCTTCCTCCCTGCCTGGTGCCTACTGCCCCTGAGTCTATTCATCATTCAGTCTTTGGAGCCCCCGGGCCTTTGCACATGCTGTCTTTTCCGTTCCTTCCTTTCCTGCCTCTGGAAAGACCTCTGGGACTCCCCCAGGCCAAGAGGGCCACCCCACCCCCCGACGGCACATGGCAGGCAGCTGTGCCCAAGGTCTGAGTAGTGCGACAGTCACTGCCAGCTGTCTGTCAGTCAACCCTTGGAGGGAGGGGCTGGTGGGACTCAGTCTCCCAGCTCCTGGTGTCTGCCATGGCTGGGCTACATGTGACAAAGATGACTTGAGACACCCTGCAGCAGGTGGTAGATATGCAAATGTAAGACACCCAGTCAGGGGAATATTATTTAGCACCAAAAAATGACTCTCAAGCCCCGAGGAGCCATGGAAGGACCATGGGTGGGAGTGGGGAACCAGGAGGGACAGGGGTCGGAGGGACAGCCTGTGTTGACCCTAGCAGGGGGACCCACTGGATATGCAGCCTAGGAGGACCTCCCAGAGCCTGGCTTTCCTCCGCTATAAAGTGGGAACTATCCTGAGGCACAGGGCGGGTCTGATGTGTGCCTCAGTGCCTCAGGGACCAGCCACACGGGAAGCGTCCTATGATCGGGCTGTGGGGGGCAGGGCTGAGCTGTGTTAGTGACTGGGTGACCAGACAGTGACTCTGGGTGTCCTCAGCACTGGAGTGCAGACCAGCACCTCACCCAGTGGTCCCCCACCCGGAAACCAAGCAGGACCCATCTGGACCCTCGCCAAACCCCACAGCCGTGTGGACGGTGAGCCCAGCTCAGCACCACCGTGCATCCCCACGGGGACCCCGATGGCCAGGTGGGGCACTGTGCCCGGCCATTCACACCAACATGTCCCTGCCCCCAGCAGCCTCTGCCCACTGCCGCTTCCACTCTGCCCACTGTGCCCAGACACCCTCCGCCCCAGGCAGCTGTGCCCCACCTCGCTCAGGGAATCCACTTCCTGCCGCCCACTGCTGAGGCCAATGTCTGGGTCCTTTCTGTCACCTACCTGGCCCCGCCGGTGACACGATCTGCGCCACACTCCTGGCGCTGGCCCTTCTCTTTCACGCCGTGCTGGCCAGGGCAGCTGCACCTCGTGCCCACCCTCATGCCCGTCATCTGTCCCCGCCCTGGAGGTGCTTTAAGCTTCCAGAAGCCTCTGCAGGGAACGGCAGCTTCATGTCCTACGTGGGAACCTCAAGGCTCCCAAGGTCAGCCGTGGACACCAAGTCGAGAAAGACACCGGCACCGTCCACTCATTCCTGCCCTCACCCAGCAAACGGAGGCCCTGCCTGTGCACCGTGTCGCTCCAGGGCTCGGGAGCACAGGGAACAGCCTGGGTGCCCTCTCCTGGGGTCCACATCCCGCCCCCGGGAATGTTGGTCCCCCCATGACAGCCGAGGGTGGGGGCTCCGTCCATCACAGGCTGGGGGCGGACAGCCCCTTCCCTGCTCACTGTGCATTCTCTGGTCTGCAGCAGGGATGGCAGGTGGCCAGGGCCCGGGGAGGGACACGGCAGGCGAGGCTGTGGGGCAGGGCCACCTCCGTCCTTCCCACCACTCGGACAGCGACACGCTCGCTCCAGAACCCCAGGGTTTTCACCTGTTCACTGCTGTCCGAGATCCACAGGATGTTCCACCCACCTCAAGGTGGCCTCAGAGCTCATGCACGCCACCGCTCAGGTCTCTGAGTTTCCCAACTGATCCAGCGACTGACTGAGCCCCACATGGCCACTTCCAAGGTGCCAGTCCACCAGAGCAGGCGGCAGGACACACATTACACCTCGCCCTTGAAGATCTGCCTTTCTAACTGTGCCAAGGAGCAGTGGGCAACTATGGAGGAAGGGCGGGTCTGGGGCTGGCCAGCAGCAAGGTGGACCTGCACGCAGGCAGGGAGGGCTTCCTGGAGGTGTCCGAGGGCGGCTCCCAGGGTGAGCAACCCTTCCTTGGACAGGAGCAGCCCGACTGCAGCGCACTGGCCACGTGGGTGGCTGGCATCCACTGGCCTGTCTGCCTCCCACGCCCCAGGGTCAGACCTGAGTTTGGGGGCCGGTCAGCCCGTCCCTGTCCTAGTGCTCACCAGGCCCTACAGGGGGACAGGCAGGGCCCACCCAGTCCTCTCCGGGGTGGGAGGAGGGCTCGGTTTACACCCCACTGGTTGTCCTCAGGGCCCGCCCTCGGCGCTGTCCTTCCAGTTGTGTCCTGGTTCTGAGTGGGTCTCGGCCTGCAGGCTCCTGTGCCACCTGCTGGGAAATCGTGCCAGGTCACATGGGCCTTCCGTCCTAACCTACTTAAGGGCCGATGCTAATTATAAGCCTGAGCCAGGAGGCTGCTCCGGAGCTGGTCCTGCTCCCAAAAGCTCCCCCCAGGCCTGAGCCACAAGCTGTGCTCGGTCTCGGGCTC